AATTTTAAAGACACATTTTGATACCAAGAACTCTCTTATTTTCGAACGGGGGAAACGCTATTTTAGGTTTTGTGTGAAAATAAATCCAGGACTACAAATGCGCTTCACGAAAGTCACGTCATCGAACCAAACACGGAGAAAACCGAGGGAAAAGGGCTGTAAGTCCAGCAAAGTTCCCACAGGAGGAAAGAACCACCACAAATCTGGTCACTTGGTGAGTAGCAGCTATGCTAGAGAAGAGGACATTATGTGGTGACGTTGCATATGCGACGTGCTGATGTAGTCATGCTAATTACGAACTTTTATAAGCTGATAAATCTGAAAGTATGTGACTGGCGTGGTCCAAACACACGTCATTACTTTTCATTTAAATTTCAGTAAAACATATGTGTGATCCAGGGCGTGAGGCAAAGTGGATTAGAAAATAGTGTTTTCAGCCCCGTTAACTTGCATTCATTGTTTTGTTCTTTCGGGAACCCGTGAGCCGACCGGAAAGGGAGAAAACTTAGGCTTCTTATGTGGATATTTTAACTCCACAAATGACACAAACCTGGAGGAGTTCCTGTTGTGCGGTGGTGTTGCTAATGCTAAGAGTTAGCTATAACTTGCTGAGAGGTCCCCCTGCTGGTTCCTGGACATTCAAACAAGTGCCTCCCCGACGTGAGTCAAGATGGGTGAGTCCATGAATTGTAAGTGACAGTGTGACGTAGATCTGTGAGGATTTTCAAATCCGACTTTCATCCTCAATTTTCTATCAAAAGCTAATGCAGGAGACAGGTCGACTAGTTTCATGTTCAGACTACATGAAAAGCTCATTGACAGATTATAATCAGAATTAAAGCTGCAAGCAGCGTCGTTCTGCCCTCGCAGCTCTGCGCCTCTCCGGCCTGGCCGGCAGCCCGGGGCACCAGGGCACGTCCTCGGAACAGAAACGTCGACCACTCCGACACCAGAAACTGCAAACGATCACCTCGTCCGCACCTCACCCTGACTCAGCATCCCCTCTGAGGACACCATTATATTACACGTCTCACCACTAGGGCATACTCTATCTTTACCACTCTGTTGCCATACCAGGCATCTCCGCCTGGTATGGCAACAGCACCGCTTACAACCGCAAAGCTCTCCAGAGAGTAGTGCGGTGTGCAGAAAGGATTATTGGAGGTGAGCTTCCCTCCCTCCAGGACATCTATAAGAAGTGGTGCCTGAGGAAAGCGGGGAGGATCATCAAGGACTCAAGTCACCCCAGCCATAAACTGTTCAGACTACTTCCATCAGAAAGGAGGTTCTGCAGCATCCGGTCCAGAACCAGCAGACTGAGAGACAGTTTTTTCCATCAGGCCATCAGACTGCTGAACACATCGCAGACACCTCACCCTCACTACTGAAACTCCAACATTACACGCTCCATACTGTACATTAATGCCACAGTTTTGCACATACCAGCCTCTGTATATATTATATCTGTTATCTTATTGTTTACTTATTCATTTGTATATTTAGATTAGCCATTTTTATATTTTACATGTTTTTACATTACTGTATTTTTACAACGCTGTTGCTGTGAAGCTCGCACACAAGAATTTCACTCGCATGTACTGTACCAGTGTACCTGCACATGTGACGTGACAATAAAAATGATTTGATTTGATTTGATTTTGGTGGTGTGATGATGAAGTTATTGTAGGTTAAACTTATCTAGGGGGCGCTGGAAAGCTTTCAGATCATGACAAATATGGGCATTTCACCATAAAACAATAGACTTCCTGTAGTCAGGGGGCGGGACTTAGGTGATGTCAGCTGTCCACATTGTAATTGTCTTCAGATGTGGTCAGCGATCACACAGACAAAGTTTGATATAGATCTGATCATGCACATGGGAGTTATTAAGTCAAGAAATGTAATGGCGAAAGGTCAAAGTTTGAGGCTTAGCCACGCCCACACCTTTCAACTTTTGAAAAATCCGACGGTTGAATTTTTTTCCCTATGTCTTAAGAGGATATAGCAGAAGTTTGAAGGCAATTGGTGAAAAGGACGATGGGGCATCATACTCCAAACAATGTGTGCGAAAACCACTAAATCAAGTACTTGGACCAAAATGGCCGACTTCCTGCGCGACTATGCACTTGGCTCCAAGAGACTTTTTTGTAGGCCCTGAGACACCACATTAATGTACCAAATTTCGTACTCCTCAGTCAAAGCATGGCTAGGGGCTGACAGTTTTAATGGTCCTAGGGGGCGCTATTTCAGAAAATAGGCCACGCCCACAAACTTTACCTGTCTATTTCTCTTGGGGGTCAGACTAGGATCACTCACCAGAAGTTTCGTAGTGATATCACGATAACTGAAGAAATGAGAGGCAAACGTATTTCCATGGCGTGATGGCGATTTTCGCCATGCTCCCAAAGCCCCGACTTTTTTTGAAACCTGCCAGTACTGGATACCAAGTGACCTTACGTTGTTTACTGCTATTTGCCAGAGATTCCTGCTGATTGGTCAAAAGGAGTCCAGTAGGGAGCTGTGAAAAAAAGAGTGGCGTGGCGACAGGTCAAAGTTTGAGGCTTAGCCACGCCCACACCTTTCAACTTTTGAAAAATCCGACGGTTGAATTTTTTCCCCTATGACTTAAGAGTATATGGCAGAAGTTTGAAGGAGATTGGTGAAAAGGGCGACGGAGCATCACTCTCCAAACAACGTGTACGAAAACCACTAAATCGCGTACTTGGACCAAAATGGCCGACTTCCTGTGCGACTTTGCACTTGGCTCCAAGAGACTTTTTTGTAGCTCCTGAGACACCATATTAGTGTACCACATTTCGTAATCCTCAGTCAAAGCATGGATTGGGGCTGACAGTTTTAATGGTCCTAGGGGGCGCTATTTCAGAAAATAGGCCACGCCCACCGGATGTTCGCATGAGATCTTTTGGGGGGCCGGACTAGGATCACTCACAAGAAGTTTTGTGATGATATCTTTAGAAATGACGAAATGGGAGGCAAACGTAAGGCCACGGCGGTACGCCTGACTTCGCCGCGCCGCCAGAGCCCCGCCCTCTGCCGAAAACTCCCATAAAGTGACGCCAAGCAACCCCCACTTGTCTTGAGTTACCAGCTCCAAATTTGTGGTGATTAAGTGAAATGGGGCAATTTGGGACCTTTCAAAGTAAAACTTGACCTTTTTGGTCCTGAGGGGGCGGGGCTTGTGTGATGTCATCATCCGACCATTCACTTTACTTTGTGGGTGGATGACGAATGACCACAGAAATTTTTGTAACTCTATTCCATTCAGTTATGAAGTTATAGCAATTTAAATTTTTTTGGCTAGTAGTCAAACTTCGAGGCCTGGCCACGCCCCTTCAGCGAATACGAAAACTCAGAATCCTTGTCTCATTTTGTTTGCCCATCCCTTCTGAGCAATTTTACACAACTTTTGAGACGATCGTGCGAAAAATGATCGAGCAATCCAATCAGAAACTGACCCTAAAAACAGCAAAAATGGCTAAAAATTACCATTTCAACCCAAAATGGCCGACTTCCTGTTTGATATTGACAGTGCTTGCAAGAGACTTTTCTGTGCGGACTGTTGAGTACTACAACTGTACCAAATTGCATAACTATAGGATAAACTAAGCTTTATGGAGAGGTTTTTTTTTTTCACTTTCTAGGGGGCGCTGTTCAGCCATTTTCTTTGCGATTTTTTTGCGACCTATAAAATATCAAATTTTTCACCAGGCCTGACAAGTTTGCAAAATATTGTGAGTTTTGGGGTATGTTAAGGTCCCCAAAAAGCTGTTCAAAGCGCGCACGGAATAATAAAGAAAGAATAATCAGAGCAAAAAAAAACAAGAGGCCTTCGCAGCGCTTTCGCTGCTCGGGCCTAATAAACATTTAAAAAAAGGTTTTTTCAGTCAAACACGTCTCAAAGTTACAGCAGTCATCTGCAAGCACCATCACCTATAATTGTGATAAAAAATTCTACTATGAAAATATATTTGTAAAAGTCATATTTTTTCTCTACATGACCTGTATTGGTGTGTGGACAGGCGGTGCAAACGCCGCAGAAAATCAGTAAAAGTCATTTTTTAATGATCAAAATTGGGCGTAACATGTTGAGTGTTCCTTCAAGGAATAAGATGGTAATCGATTCAGCATTTATACATTGAACATACACAACAATGACATATCTTTTCTGTGTAGTAGTGCTCTCGTTGTGTTTCTCACACTTACTTTATAAGTAATATACAAACCGTGGGTGTTCTGCTTTGGATTTAGAACAGATTCCCACGTGTAATGGTTTCAGACAGCAGCTGTTGATGGTAAGATGACTCTTCTTTCAGCCCTCTGCATCATGGTTGTTTATGTTTGATGAAATTAAAGTGAGAAGTGTGATATTCAGACAAGATGAGGTATGTACGCCTGACTGATTCTGGTCATCGCTCAGCCGACCCTCAGCCTCTGCACAACAGTTTTTTTTTTCCAGGGATTAACTCAAAACAACCAGGGGGATGGGAGTCAAGCACTGGGAGGGAGGTCCTCTGGGCAGGCCTTGGCACAGCCCAAAACCAATGCCCCGGTTCCAATCCGATTACTCCACAAACCTGCAAATCCTCTGCTGCAGTGAGTGGGCACAGTGCAGTCAGCTGTTCTGATGTCTGATCGTCAGCATCGTCTCAGTCAGCCTCTGTGACCTCCTGCCCTGCTCCTTCTATTACTCATTTACTGCTCCTCTGGTGGGCAGCCACATGCTCCACTAAAAGACAGTTTGGTGGCATCAGCTGAGCCCTAAAATGTGGACTTCACCCATGAATCCCTTGAAGAATTAAAACTGAATGAAAAACAAAAATATGCACAGCAAAGGAGGACACAAGCGTCAACTAAAAGGTCAATGTTTCACCCCCAATGTTCCCAGTCCAGGTTTTAAAGTGTTCTTGGGGAAACGCATTGCTGCGTGTGTGCTCCTTAGCTGTAAAACATCAGTTTGATGATGTTTTCAGAACTGTTACCTGAGAGAGCTGTACACATGGCAGCAAAGGCACTGAGTTTCAGCTTGTTCATGATGCTGAAACAAGGACATTGCTCCAGAATCATCAGGACGCCACCGCTGAAAAGCAGACTGAGGTACAGGCTCTCAGCAACAACACACAACCACAGAACTCCTGGAAACACACAGGAAACGGAAAAGAGTGTCAGGAAACAGTTCTGCTATGCTCAGATCAGCCCAGACCCGGTCCCCGAGGGTCAGACCCAGACAGGTCTGATCGAGATCTGAAGCACAGTTTGACCATGTTGAGTCTGGACCTCACTAAGGGACCTGATCTCCAAATAACAAATGAACTTTATAAATAATTCCTAATGAACCCTTTTAAAGCTTAACCCTTCAGTGTTATCAGAGGCTTTTCAGTCCACTTTTGTTTTTGTTTTGATGGTTAGTGAGTGACCATGTTTGGTCATGTGTGCATGTTTCAAGCTTCGATTCGCTGCCTAAACCTGAAACTTTAGCTAAAATTTGAACAAAAAAAATGTTAAAAAATAAGAATTAAAAAATTTATTTAAATGTAAGAAAACATAAAAATTTAAAGTTTTACAAAGGTTTTAAAACCAAAGGAAAACCTGTAATCAGTATGTGAAGTGGGTGTAAGTGATCTCAGCAGATGTTCCAGACTCTCAACAGAATCTCTTGATTTGTTACCGTTATGATTTTTTCCAACACAATCACTTATTTTTACTTAATGACCTAAAATGTAGAAAAAAACATTTCAGCTATTATAAAGGATCCACCAGGATAATAACTATCTTATAATATAAGTTATATGATCAAAAAACATGGTTTAGCTAAATAAATTCAACTGACTCTCTGTGTTTGTCCCTTACAAATATCTTTTGGTTCATTACTGATTCGTTCTAGACAAAATGCAAACTTATTAGAATTGTTTAAAGATCAAATAAACCAACATCTGTGATTTGTAAGACAAAATTAATTCTGCTTCATGGTTTGACTAACCTCTTTGATGTTCAGGAGCAATCTCAGCAAAGTTTCGACAGTCGAACCCTGAGCAATGAAGAGAACAGGAAAATGTCACAATTCAACCCAAAAATAAAGGCATGCTGCATCTTTTTGGATCATTTTCGTCTGAAAAGGTTTTCCGTTTTTGTTACGATGGATGTTTTTGTAAACTCAGGGCTGATGTTTTGTTTCCATCAATAAAATTTAAATCCTGTTGCTGGATTAAGTGAAAAATATAGCTTTTAAAATGACTTATTTCAAACATGGTAAAAAATAATTGTTTAAAAATAAAAATAAATTAATTAAAAAATACTTCATTTGAAGAAAACTGGGTTTTAGAAAATTTACATTGAAGATTTTTAGGTGTTAAAATCTTGCCGTGATCATATGTTTGTACTCATATACTGTACCCCCCCCCCCCCCCCCAAGTATGTTTGTTTTACACTGAGTAGGAGATGCTCTGTATCTCACTTTACACCTGTATAGTGACAATAAAGGCATTCTATTCTATTCTATTCTATTCTATATGTTCATTAAAAATAATGATTGAATATTCATTTGTTTTAATATTTTGAGAAGATAACACTTAATAATATAAAACACGTCATAAAATGAAGTCTTTTATTAAAACTAAGGGTGAATTTTACACCCAGGTTACATCAAAACTTAGTCAATTTTTTCTTATTAATGCATGAAGTGAATAAATTAAACAAATATAAAAATATTCATATACAAGTTAAACATTTTCCTTATATAATAATAATAATAATAATAATAATAATAATAATAATAATAATGGATTTCATTTGAACATTATCATTAGCTTAAGATTATTATTTTCTTGTCTTTTTATGAGAAATGTATCATTTTACCTCAAATAAACCTTTTCTCTGTGCCTGTAAACTGCAGCATAGCTGCCTGAATAATTTAAATGTCGACATATCATTTTTATGCTTTGTTTGAGGAGATTTGGCTATTAGTAAAGGACTTAAGGTTACATGTTGGACTTCGTTCTGACAACCTGCTGCTGCTTTTTTTCAGCTCTAATCCTGAATTTATTTCCACATCTGTGCATTTTTCTGTATCTGTCTGCCCTTTTGTCCATGTGACCAGTGACCTCCTCCTCCTGCAAGATCAGCAACGATCATACACCTTAAAAAAAAAGAAAGGACACAAAACTGCATACAAATTTTCTAAAATAATGCAAAATAAAATGCACATAATCTTATGTCATCACAACTAGTTTATTATTAACTATTTGTTTTGCAGCACTTTCGTCTGGTTTAGGTAAAAAGATCCAGCAGCAGTGATTGAATTTCTGTGTATTTTGTTGCTGTATCCATCAGGACATCCTGCAGCTGCAGCTGTGACTCTGAGTCTCGCCTCCATCTTACCGTTCATGTCAACCGCTTCCTCGCAGGAGAAAAATATCCCTGTGTGGAACTTCCTCAGGATAAACTTCTCCTCTCCCGTCTCGAAGATGTACTGCACCTGCCGGCTGTCGTTGAGGTTGGAGCTGTTGAAGCGGATGCAATACCACTGCTTCTCCTTCACAGGCGGTCCGGTGCAGAAGGGTTTGGCCACCTTCCTGGTCCCCTCACACCAGTAGCTGGTGGTCACTGCTGAAACGGCGAAAGCCAAAGCCACAAAGTTGAGGGTGATTGCCAGAGAAGCCCGCCGGCCGCGCTCCAGCCTCATGGTCTAGGCCAGACCAGGCCAGTGGGGATGAAACGAAAAGGCGACTAATCCTGCCCTTCAGTATGTAGACACTGTGTTTTGCCTCCCAGCAGATATGTCAAATCGTCATAATCTTGTTGCGTTTGGGTCTCTTTGGGTGAGAAATGGGAGCATCCTTCTTCTAGCTCTTCATTCCAACTTGTTTAAAGCATTTCTTTTCTAAACCTCCCCAAAACAGTTAATCCATCCTTGTTTCAGTTGAACTCCTCCACTCTTGACTTCATATTCTTCATCCCAGTCGTCTCTCAGGTCATTTCATATCACTTCACATGTTAGAAATGAAAAAATTCTGGTCCAGACTTCTGCTGAGCATTCCCTGAGCTCCGATTTAATCCAGACCAGGCTCCCGCTGCTCACAAACACCCAGCATCAGCCTGAGGCAGGAGATCAAGTGCCTGTTTTACTTTGAGCAGTGACATAATGTGCGCAGTCTCATATGAAAATCCATCCATAATATGCTTGTGTGTGTGTGTGTGTGTGTGTGTGTGTGTGTGTGTGTGTGTGTGTGTGTGTGTGTGTGTGTGAGAGAGAGAGAGAGAGAGAGAGAGAGAGAGAGAGAGAGAGAGAGAGAGAGAGAGACAGAGAGAAACCTCCTTCTCAGTTGCCAGTGTCTTAGGAGAACATTTTACTGTACATGCAGAAGCATTTTAAGGACATTAAAATGAAAGAGGTCTAATCTATTTGTCTTCTTCATTTTTCAAATATTTATTCTTAGTCTCATCCTTAAACTCCTCCCCACACGTAGCTCAGATGTGTGGCTGTGAAAGTCGCCCTTTAAATGCACATTTTATTACATTTCTGCGGTTAAAGTCCATTTATCTTGTCCTGGTACTGTGAAGTATGTGTCCGGTTGCAAAAAGTGTTGAAAGCTTATTTCAATGCAGACAACCTGCTCAACCTCCTGAACTACTGCTGCTGTCCGGAGCTACTGAGCAATTCATCTGGAAAAAAAAACATTGTTCATACCCTCTGTACCAATAATAAACAGAACACAAGTAAGTCCTTTACCTCTGATGAAGCGCATTCTAAAAAGTCCATCACTCGTCTGCCCCATAACTTCTTCAACTGAAAATACACCCCTGATGCTGAAGGGCTTTCCTTCCCTTCAGTTCTACCACATTCTCTGGTTCCCTTTCTTGAAAATGGGGACTGCTGGTTGCACTGGTTGAACAGCGCACCAGGCTGAAGACGAAAGATGACAGATCATTTGCTGCTGTGGTCAGAATCAGCTCCTGTACCCTCCTGTGTCTCTAGTGTCTTGCTTCCCTTGCCCTTCTTTACTTTATCCACCTGTTTCCCTGATTATTCTCATGTATTTAAACCCTCTCTGGTGGGGAAGGAGCCTGAGTTGGTGTGTGAGGTTGAGAGGTTCAGACTAGATATAGTCGGACTCACCTCAACACATGGCTCTGGCTCTGGAACCAGTTTCCTTGAGAGGGTTGGACTTTCTACCACTCTGGAGTTGCTCCCACTGAGAGGCGCAGAGCAGGGGTGGGCATACTAGTTGGCCCCCATCTCTGTGCCTGTACGTTGGGGTTTACCCCAGTGAACGAGAGGGTAGCCTCCCTCCGCTTATGTGTGGGGGGACGGGTTCTGACTGTGGTCTGTGCTTATGCACCAAACTACAATTCGGGGGGGGGGGGGGGGGGGGGGGGGGGCAGAGTGCTACCAACACTATCTATAGTGGGGACGGTGTGCTGCAGACCTCTACTCAGGACGTTGTGGATCGGTGGGCAGAATACTTCGAAGACCTCCTCAATCCCACCGACATGTCTTCCAGTGAGGAAACAGAGTCTGTGGACTTTGGGTTGGTCTCTCAAATCTCTGGTGCTGAGGTCACTGAGGTGGTCAAACAGCTCCTCTTTGGCAAGGCTCCGGGGGTGGATGAGATCCGCCCGGAGTTCCTTAAGGCTCTGGATGTTGTGGGGCTGTGTTGGCTGACGCGGCTCTGCAATATCGTGTTGACATCGGGGGCAGTCCCACTGGACTGTCAGACCGGGGTGGTGGTTCCCTTATTTAAAAAGGGGGACCGTAGGGTGTGTTCCTGTGTTCCAGCTACAGGGGGATCACACTCCTGAGCCTTCTTGGTAAGGTCTATTCAGGGGTTCTGGAGAGGAGGGTCCGTCGGATTGTTGAACCTCAGATTCAGGAGGAGCAATGTGGTTTTCATCCTGGCCGTGGAACACTGGACCAGCTCTATACCCTTAGGGGGATCCTGGAGGGTGCATGGGAATTTGCCCAACCAGTCAATCAATCAATCAATCAATTAGACTTTATTGTCACTTCAGCCATATATGGTTTGTACACAGTGAGGCGAAACAGCGTTCCTCCAGGACCAAGGCGCTACATGCAACATCAATTTACAACATAAAATAACAGGGAAGTCACTAAACTATCTAACTAAGGACAGAACAGACTGACCTAACATGACATGTCCTCTCTAAGTAGGTAGTACAAAGGAAAAAAAACTAAAAAAAACATAAACATACTTAGTATGTAGGTGGTAAAGAATCATTTAAAAAAAACATGAGTGTGTGTGTGTGTGTGTGTGTGCGTGTGTGTGTGTGTGTTAGCGTGTGCGCATGCAAGCATTTATCAGTCCAGTCCCTTTATGTTGAGGAGACGAATGGCTTGTGGAAAGAAGCTGTTGTACAGTCTGGATGTGTGTGCCCGAATGATTTGGTACCTTCTTCCAGGTGGCAGGAGGTTGAAGAGTGTCTGAAAGGGGTGTGACCAATCAGCCACAATGCTGGTGGCTTTGTGGATGCAGCGTGTAGTGTAGATGCCCTTAATTGAGGGGAGAGAGACTCCGATGATCTTCTCTGCTGTTCCCACTATCCGCTGTAGTGTCTTGCGGTCAGAGATTGCACAGTTACCAAACCAGGCAGTGATACAGCTGCTCAGGATGCTCTCAATAGTTCCTCTATAGAAGGTGGTCAGGATTAGTGGTGGAAGCTGGGCCTTCCTCAGTCTTCTCAGAAAGAAGAGACGCTGTTGGGCTTTCTTGTGCAAGAAGCTGGGGTTGAGGGACCAGCTGAGGTCTTTGTCCAGGTGAACTCCCAGGAATTTGATGCTGCTGACGATCTCCACAGAGGAGCCGTTGATGCTCAGCTGTGAGTGGTCACCTCGTATCCTCCTAAAGTCAACAACCATCTATTTTGTCTTGTCAACATTCAGAGACAGGTTGCTGTCCTTACACCAGTTCGTTAGCCTCTGCACTTCCTCTCTGTACGCTGACTCGTCATTCTTGCTAATGAGACCCACCACGGTTGTGTCATCCGCGAACTTAATGATATGATTTGAACTGTGTGTTGCTACACACTCATGAGTCAGCAGTGTGAACAGCAGAGGACTGAGCACACAGCCTTGTGGGGCCCCCATGCTCAGTGTGGTGGTGCTGGAGGTGCAGTTCCCAATCCATACTGACTGAGGCCTTCCAGTCAGAAAGTCCAGGATCCAGTTGCAGAGGGGGGTGTTCAGGCCCAACAGGCTCAGTTTTCCGATCAGTTGCTGGGGGATGATCGTGTTGAATGCTGAGCTGAAATCTATGTACAGCATCCGAACGTGTGTCCTTCTTGTCCAGATGTGTGAGGGCAAGATGGAGTGCAGTGGAGATGGTGTCATCCGTTGAGCGGTTGCGGCGGTATGCAAATTGCAGTGGGTCCAGTGAGGGGGGCAGCAGGGTCTTGATGTGTGTCATGACAAGCCGCTCGAAGCACTTCATGATGGTGGGTGTGAGTGCAACAGGACGGTAGTCGTTTAGACAGGACACAGAAGACTTCTTGGGCACGGGAACGATGGTAGTGGCCTTGAAGCAGGTGGGAATGACGGCACTACTCAGAGAGATGCTGAAGATGTCGGTGAGAACGTCCGCCAACTGTTCAGCACATTCCCTCAGCACTCTGCCTGGGATGTTGTCTGGACCAGCAGCTTTACGTGGATTGACTTTGCGTAGAGTTCTCCTCACCTCCGCTGCAGTGAGACACAACACCTGGTCGTTCGGAGGAGGGATGGACTTCCTCGCCACCACGTCGTTCTGCCTGTCGAACCGAGCGTAGTAGTTATTTAGCATATCCGGGAGGGAGCCATCACCATCACAGGCAGGTGTTGTCGTCCTGTAGTTGATGATGGCCTGTAGGCCCTGCCACATTCACCGTGTGTCGCTGCTGTCCATGAAGTGGTTGTGGATTCTCTGGGCGTGTGCACGCTTTGCCTCTCTAATGGCCCGAGATAGTTCGGCTCTAGCTCTGCTAAGCGCCACCTCATCTCCCGCTTTGAAGGCAGAGTCTCTGGTTCTCAGAAGTGCACGCACTTCCGCAGTCTACATGTGTTTTGTGGATTTGGAGAAGGCGTTTGACCGCACCCCTCTGGGGACCCTGTGGGGGGTACTCCGGGAGTATGGGGTACCAAGCCCTCTGATCAGGCCTCTCAACTTAGGCTATTGCCCCCGCGACCCTACTCTGGATAAGTGGATGAAAATGGATGGCTGGCTGGATGGATGGATGGATGGATGGATGAAAATGGATGGATGGATGGTATTTAACCCCTCTGTTTGTGCTGGTCTTTGTCAGATCCTTGTCTCGTCTTCCTCCTGTATCATCCCACCTACCATTAATCATATTTAGCAGTTCTTTGCCAGCCATTCTGCCTCCTGTTCCTGCTCACCTGCATTTTGGGTCCAAACTACAACTCCCATCATGACAGCTGTGGCCCCCAGACTCTGGAACTCTCTCCCCCTGAGGCTGAGATCAGTGGACTCAGTGGTCTCCTTTAAAAGTGCCTCACAATATATTTTTCTAATTTTCAACACATTTTTTAAAATCTTTCTTTCTTTCTTTTTACATTTTTTATTATTCTTGTGAGGCATCTTGTGATTTTTATCTTGAGAGGCGCTATATAAAAGATTGTTTCTTCTTCCACCTCCCAGTCTGCCACTCCGCAGCCATCAGAGGCATCAGCCAAGGCATTCCTACAACATCCATAAATTCATATACCCAGGACGGTTCTAGTCAACTCCTGGAGCTCTGCAAACATGCACCTGTTTGTCTACTTTGTTGATTTCTGTCCCATAGATTTGTCAATCCACCCAAGGCCAGCTCTGGTCTTGGGTGGATTGACAAATCCAGTGAAGGACCAGTCTCTGGTCCTTCACTGGAATATGTGTTTGGTAAGACTGAGAAGCTCTTTAAAGTATTCTTCCACTCATAGTCGAGGTAAACGGCTCCGGATCCCTAATGAAATGAACCCTATCATGAGACAGAGAATGGTTTGCCTCTTCGGATATGTGGCCTGACTAGATTCTTCCTGTACACAGCTTAGCCCTCGGGTACCCACCCGCTGTTTCTGGAGAGCCACAGAGGCCCCCTTGTTCAGCCTGACAACTTCCCTAACCTCTGGTGTCCACCAGCAGATCTGTGGATCACCACCACAATGGGCTCCAGCAATCAGCCTGCCAGCTAATAACCACTTTATCAATTGCAAAAATGTTTTGAGTTTGGTGAGACTGGATTACACTTCCACATTGACTTCATGCTGTAAGGTCAATGCGACTGCAAGCTGGTGAGTTGGGAAGGGAAGCAAAAAATAAACAACTAAGCATTAATTAATTCATTTTCTGATTCTATTACAATACATGATGATTATGCAGCACTGCTTTTGTTTTATTCTTCAAGTTCAGTCCTCATATCTTTATTCAGATAGTTTTTTAAATCAACTTTCCTCTTATCTCTTTAATTGCCATCACTCTGCTTGGTTTTGGCATCACTGGAGCAGATGGTCAGAGATTACAACAACGGAGACAAAGATAATCTCATTTCATTGTGGGCGAGCAGTGTGGTCTGTTGGCGCTACAGGACGACCCTCCGCCTGCAAATCTCTCACTGTTCTGTTAGTGCGGGCTGAAACGATGGGCTTTCCGACGTGTGTTTCTGATGGATGTGGATGAAATCACGTTAACTTTGTCAACAGAAACAAGGTTTTCCTTTATTAGTGAACCCCAGTAACAACAAATATCAGTGATGGAAACAAAACTCACAGATAAGCTGAACGTCTAAAGCAGCTAACAACTAGAAAGGAATCAAACATGAAAATACTTGCGAAAAACATCCAAAGTCACCTTTACTCACGTGACTGAAAGCTGCTCCCTTAAAAAAGAGGGGGCGGGGCTTAAAGTTGACTTTGCAGTCAGCCACTAGAGGGCATTTTGATATTTTTCACTTTCAACTTCCAGGTTTTGTTCACATTTCTAATAATAATTTAATAATTATTTGTCAATAATCATTATAAATTATATATATATATATATATATATATATATATACATATGTATATATATATAAAAAATATATATATTTTTTTTCTTAATCTCGCTTGAAACCCCCTTTTAATTGATTAGCTTTTCATTTCTGACTTGTGGGGTCGTTTCTCTGTTTTATTGTCTAAACTGTGCTCTCTTATACTGTGTTTTAAATTGTGATCTTATTTGTGTATTTTTTTAATCCCTACTTTAGTGTTTTTAGTTGCTGTATTTGCCTGTAAAGCACTTTGGTCAGCTCTCACGCTGTGTGTAAAATTGTGCTATACAAATAAAATGGTATGGTCTAAATGAGTAACAAAATGTCAGCATTTCATATAATTTTGCAATATCTGGTAATGTGTTTTCACATTTATATAAGAACGTTTTAGGTAACAGTGTCAAACACTAGTAGGGTTTTGTAAACAAAATGTATTTAAACGTGTCCTTAAACTGCTTTTATTTAAGCTTGTGTGTCTAAAAGGTGTCACAGCTCTGTGACGTGTTGATCCTCTTTAAGACAGCTGTCTGGATTTAGGCGGTGATAACCATAATCTCATTTGGCAGTGAGGCAGAGAAACTCGTTTCAAAACTCTGCAGAAGTTCAACTTGGAAAAGGAAGACAACGGTTTTTGCTTCTCAAGGAAGGATGGGAAACACAAAGAGCAGCGCTTTGTCAAAGGAACTCCTGGAGGAGCTGAAATCTAACACCAAATACAGCGAGGCTGAGCTCTGCACATGGTACCAGTCCTTCCTGAAGGAGTGTCCCAGTGGGAAGATCAGCAAGGAGCAGTTTGAAGGCATCTATGCCAGCTTTTTTCCAGGAGCGGACCCCTCTGCGTACGCACGGCATGTCTTCAGGAGTTTTGACACCAACGCAGACGGCACACTGGACTTTAAGGAGTACATTGTTGCTCTTCATCTCACTTCCGGAGGAAAGACTCTGCAGAAGCTAGAGTGGGCCTTCGCCTTGTATGATGTAGACGGCAACGGGACCATCAGTAAAAGCGAGATCCAAGAGATCGTCAGGGTACTAATGATTTACCCTGCTGTCTTACTGGAGGAGTAAAACTTGCCTGCGTTTGTAAATTCTCACCATCCCAACTGGATTTTTGATAACAGCGCATGCATTTTGTTTGGAAGCTATTGAGCTAATTTTTTTATTCGGATAGAATTTTTATTGTTTCTGTAGTTTTTTTCTGATGTTTTGCATCATGAAATGTGTTTCGTATCTAAATAAGTGAAAATTCAAATCCTAGTTTTGTTTTTTATAGATTTTAAATATTTCACAAGTTAATGGTCAACTAAACAATTCAAACTTATAAAAAGTATGTTCCTCTGCTCTGCAGTCAATATTCAACATGATCCCTGCTGAGGACCAGAAGAAACTTCCTGAAGATGAAAACACTCCGGAAAAGAGGGCTGAAAAAATCTGGGCATTTTTCGGAAAAAAGGAAAATGGTAACAACAATTAATAAATCAAAATAATATAAAATAATAAATATTTTATGTATTTTATACATATATTATATAAATATTTTACATATATTTTGGCTTAAAAGTGTTTCGGATATCTGGAAAACGTAACTTTGCTCTTTGCAGATAAAATAACAGAAGGAGAATTCATTCAGGGAGTGATGGACAACAAGGACATCCTACGTTTGATTCAGTATGACGAACCACAGAGGATCAAGGACAAGCTGAAAGAGAAGAAGCAATAAAGCAGGAGCTGAAAAACTCAGAAGAAAAGACGACTTGTGGTTTTAAGACTGATTCTTTGTTTATGTTTTAACTTCATGTGACAGCCTGTCTGTCTGATTGTTCACCAACTGAACAGTTTTGCTTCTGATTTTGTAACCAGAAAGTTATAAAATGACATGATCCCACCTGACCGTAATGTCTTTATTCCTGAAATGCAGCTGCAGACTTCGATGAAGGAAGCTAGCTAAAGAGCAAGTTTGGCAGTTGCGAGGAAACCAGATGTTTAACTTGTTTTTTATCCAAACTTTTGACCCGTCCAGACATCTGGTCCAGTATTTGTCTCTCAGCTCTGAAAACCTGTCCTTTTACTCTCACTTCTGGCAGCAGCTGGTTCTTTAACACTTTTTTCATTCATTAAGGTAATTGAGAAGAAGTCAGGACAGGAGCTCCTTATGAGGGGATTTGGGCTCAGGTTAACAATCCGCCTGCTTCATCCGATCCGATTAACTGCTGAAGGTCAGTTGAGACAAACAAGACTTGTACGCTGCCTGAATGTGCTCCACAAGTCTCACCACAGTAATCACTTAAACTTGTTTGGTTTCTTGTTTTAACATTTACCAGATAAATATGGAAACGGTGTCTGTACTCAATCACAGTGTGTCTCCTTTAATAACTGGTTGGTTGTTTTAAAACTTTACAGATCAATTATTTAACCAGGAAAGGCCCTCGAGATTAAAAACCTCATTTACAGGAGTGTCCTGGCCAAGACAGGCAGGGCGCTACAACACATGCAACAATGGAATCAGGTGATTCAACAGCAGTCAGCGACAAAAGTCATTAAAATGACATCCAGATGTTTAAACTCTGTAAGAAGAGTTCCTTCATATTTAGCTGGTTTGGGAGCTGATTCCATGAACAAGGGGCAGAAACAACTCAGCACGACTCCTCGCTACATTCAGGAGGAACGAGTCATGTGACACATGCAGCAGCTTCCTGTAGGTTTTTGGAAAGTGAAGGTCTGTATTATCCTAGAAATCTTGACAAGCTGTAGCAGTAGCTCTGTTTACTGGGTGGGTTGAGCACTAGAGCTGTGATGGGAAAAGACTACAAAGATGGCGTCAGCTCAAGAAAAGCACTAATTTAAAACTGCTTTGGAATCAACTTTGTATGATTTAGACCTGAGCTTATCTTTGAGACATGAGGTGGAGGTACTTAAGTCACTTATTTAACCATTAAGGTATTTGCTTCTTCTTTGACGGTTTCTGGTGGTCTGCCTCGATGACTGATTGTCAAAGCTACAGTGAGATGCAAAAGTTTGGGCAGCCCTGTTACTCTTCATGATTTTCCTGTATAAATCGTTACGATAGCAATTTTCTGTTAAAAATATCACATAGAAGACACACACAGTGATATCCGAGAAGTGAAACAAAGTTTATAGGATTTACAGGAAGTGTAATAATTGTTTACACAAAATTAGGCAGGTGTATAAAATTGGACACTGTTGATTCCAGAACCTTTAGAATTGAGCTCCGGGAGTTGACGTCACTTCTCCCGGCATGCAACAGCGAAACGGCGCCATTTGGCAGGCAGAAGCCGGCAGCTGGACTATTTGTTATTGTCAGAAAACTCAACCAGACAGGAAATATGGTAGATTCCTGTTGTGCCCCAGGATGCAGAACAGACGCGGACGACATAAGGAATGAGCCATCTACAAGATTCCCCAAGATCCGGAGCACCGCAAACGTTGGATCATTGTAATAAAACGCGCTAGTGACCGGGCTGAAATGAAACTGTGGGATCCCGAGAGTAAAGGTTTTCGCTTATGCAGCGACCGCTTCATATCAGGTACTTAAACCAACGTTTCCTCAACTGTGTATGGTATTTATTTTAAATGCTTTTATTACGATTCTTAGTGGGCTTCCTAAACTTATTTTGGCGTGGCTTTTTCTGTCTTATTACTCATAGCAGCAAGTAAACATCACGTAAAACGTTGTCTCGTGAGTTCTGCGTGCTGCCGTTTACGTGTTTTATGATCACAGCAATTAACCGGCTAAGCTGTATTTCATTTTTAAGCAATGGTTGATCAATTGTCAGATCACACATAAAAAGCACTTTGGATTGCTATTATCTGTCTCACCGAGACAGCTCTCAGACAGATCCTGAGACGCTCCTGCCTGACATATTTATTTTATTCACGAAAAAAAAATCAAACTAGTGATTTCTCTTGGCGTTCAGTTTATACATTCAAACAGCACAGCACTCTATTTAAACTACTTACGTGTAAATCTGTTATTTGTCCATCCATCCATCCATCCATCCATTTTCAGCCGCGTATCAGGAGTCGGGTTGCGGGGGCAGTAGCCGAGAGGCCCTGACTTCCCTCTCCCCAGCCGCCTGAGCCAGCTCCTCCGGGTAAATCCCAAGGGGTTCCCCGGCCAGGTCCAGTAAGAAGTCCGCTCCGACAGCTTCTGGCGTTTTTAAAAAGTATCCCAGGGGCACGGTAAGGGTCGGAGATGTTTAGTCTATTTAATTTCTGACTATATAAAACAATTTCTTCAGTTTTAAAGTGTGAAGTAAACTCCGACGAATTAAAATCCAAGCGGATCCCGTTCACGTTCATGGTTACATCCGTGTTTGTTTACCTTTTTTTTTCCTGCCAAAATGGCGTCTACTAACTGAGAGTCACGTGGGGTCCGGAGCTCTATTGGTACTCAAAATGTGTTTGGTAAGCTCAGTGACCCTTGACCTCCATACACAGGTGAGTCTAATTATGAGAAAGAGTATTTAAGGACCAATTGTAAGTTTCCCTCCTCTTTAATATTCTCTGAAGAGCAGCAACATGGGGTCTCAGAACAACTCTCACATGAGCTGAAAACAAAGATGGTTCACCATCATGGTTTAGGGGAAGGATCCAGAAAGCTGTCTCAGAGATTTCAGCTTCTGTTTCCACAGTTAGGAACATATAGACATCACATTATCCCATCATGCACCACGGTGCACCATATTGGCAGGAAACAAATTGTAAACAAGCCAACTAGCCGACAGTTTCACAGCATTCAGATAATGGTTTACTCGTGTTGTGCTCCTGGGTGCACAAACCACCGAGGCCAGGGTGAAGACAGAGTCTTTATTCGCTTTCCAAAAGACCCAGCTCAGAAGGAAAGATGGATTTCTATGATCAAACGATCTCGGAGCGCAATGAGGAAAACCGAGCGTTGGCGCTCAGTGGATTCCACTTGTGCAGGAACCATGTCATTTCAGGTAACTTCATGTAATTTGAAGTTAAGTTTTAAAATAGTAGTTCTAGCTATTGTAATCAGACATGAGTCCACGGGGTTAACGATGTCTCATCTTCCCTTTCTTGGTTATGCTGCCATAATCTGAACAGCACGGCAGACACATGAGAGCAACACACGGCCTGCCCAGCTGTGCAGTTACAATGAGCTCCTAGCACAGCACCACCTCTTCTAACCACTGCCGGCAGTTTTATAGGGGTTCATTTAATCTTTGTGATTTATCTGTTACAAAATTCAACCACAAAATAACTTTCTGCTATTAGCTTCCTGGCTAACGTATCATAGCATCTTAGGTGTATTCTTGCTGTGTCGTATCTCTAATTCCATGTTGTAGTTCTTTTTTAAAACACAGAGCAGTTTTGTTTACCTGTTTTCCCGCTACGTTTGAGGAAGTTTGCAGCCGCGAACGAAACGTAGCGGGAAAACAGGTAAACAAAACTGCTCTGCGTTTTAAAAAAGAACTACAGCATGGTATCATAGCATATGCTAGCATACTACTGGTATTATGTTTGGCTACTTAGCTTTGTAGTAACAAAAAAACAATCCCTTTGTTGTAAACCTCACAGCTGAATCTCGGCCACAAATTCTGATATAGTACATTTATAACCCTCCAGACTTTTATAGACCTTCAGTGAATCTCCAGTGTAGTGTGAAGGAAAGTTGATGAGATAATTATATATGTTGGGATACTGTATATTTGGGATTCCCGTGATGCGTGCCAACTGATCTGTTGTTTTAAAAAGTACACCTGGGGCTAAACATGGATTACTAATCTGTAGTCTCTGAAGTTTGGTGGTGTATCGCTCTTCATCACTTTCCAAAAGTCGTCTGCAACAATCAGTTTTAGTCGTTGTTCATCTCTTTTTTCCGTTCATGTTCCTGCCAACATGGCACGGTAAACATACCTGGTCACGTGACATCAGGAGCTCTATTGAGGAAATGGAAGACCACAGGCTCAGTTCAAGTTAAGGCTCCAAGTGGCAGAGCAAGAACAATCTGGGATAAACAGAAGTGAAGAATGGTGAGAACAGTCAGAGTCAACCCACAGACCAGCACCAAAGACCTACAACATCATGTTGCTGCAGATGGAGTCACTGTGCATCGTTCACCTATTTGGTGCACTTTACACAAGGAGATGCTGCATGTGAGAGTGATGTAGAGGAGGCCTTTTCTCCACCCACAGCACAAACAGAGCAGCTTGAGGTCTGCTAAAGCACATCTGGACAAGCCAGCTTCATCTGGAATAAGGTGCTGTGGACTGATGAAACTAAAACTGAGTTATTTGGGCGTAACAAGGAGCGTTATGCATGGAGGAACAAGAACACAGCATTCCAAGGAAAACACCAGGGACCTCATTTATCAACCATGCTTTTGTGTTGTATTCATCATTTTGTACCTGTGTGTGGAAATGTCCTTAAATACAAGTCAAATCAAATCAAAACACATTCATTCATGAAGCGCTTTTCATACAAGTGCAGCTCAAAGCGCTTTACAATGTTAAAATCAACCGCACAGCAGTCGGTTTCCCACCCCTCCCACATACAGTAAGTAAACTTCAGGAACAGCATCTAGAACGGGGAACCGCAACACCAAAGGTCTCTGTTGTCCACACATGGTCCTCATCTACAAATTATTTTACCTATTAAATAATTATTTTGGTAGAAAAGCAGCTGAGTCACGTAGTTGTTGCCGGAACACAACGGGGATCCGAGATTGTGGAATGGTTGTGTTTTTTGTGACCACATTTTTTTCTCTTCCCATTTTTAGGATGTTTTTAATCTACTGAGTTACAACCAACCCGTGTGAGTTAACCCCCAAGTCCCTTCTAGTGACTCTGCCAGGCCATTTCTGAGTACCGAGCCCTATTCAGGTATTCTGCTGGTTCCTGACGTGGCCCGGAAAATAATCCTTTTGGGCCGGCCTAGAGAAATGGAGACAGGCCCATGCACAAAGTTCTGGTGAAATTAGTTCTGATAGTGGAAACAGCACTACTGCTCCAACTAATCGGGACCAGCTGATTTTCTGTTGTCAGCGGCTTTGTGAAGCTCTGAAACTGCTGGAATTTCAGCAAGAATCATTTAATATTCCTGTTGAAATAACAATATCACATAAAGAGATGGAGGCGCATCCCTCCTCCATCCATACCTTTTACCTCAGTGGGGTCATGAGTGGCTGAAGTCTTCTTTGAGCAGTCATGAGACGAGAGGTGAGGGACAACCAGGACATTTCTCTAGTCCATCACAGGACGTAAAAATGTTTATAAAATAATTTAGGTAAATTTAGAAGATTGGAGCAATTTTATATCTCCAACGCACTCTGGTTTTCACTCAGCCTAGCTGTTAGCTCGTCAGTCTTGAAGGACATAAACTGTCTGAAGTGAACAGAGGCAGTCCAGGAAGCTATCTACACTGAGTAACAGAAATAATTCATAACTTTAATCGTTTTTTTAATAAATGTAAAATATAAAATATATGAAACTCTCTTTTTTATATGACCACCTCAGAGTTCTGCATCAAGGTTCATAATATTACATTGGCTCAGATTTTCGTGACAGGCTTTGAAATTAAATGTTTGCCAACTTTGATATTATCAGATGTCTCAAAGCTGCAGCACACAAAGCAAAGTTGTCCTTTTCTAAAGTCCTTTATTCATTTTGAACCCGAACATCCTGCAGATGTAACATTTCTGAGATCCCGGCTTCCCTGTACTGTTACATAACGACACAGAGCTCTGCTTCATTTTCAAAGAGGAGATTTATTTTGTACTCTGCATTCATCAGTTCACGATCTGGACAGAGGTCACGTATGATCAAACATTCTCAAAACATTGGATTTGATGTGAACATTCACTACACCGGGGCAATTAACGCAAACGTTACATCATCAGAAACTCTAATCAGGAACATTTAGAATGACGGAGCACAACACTGACATCGATGAAACCTCTTCAACAAATACGACATCTAAAACCTGCACATGAAGCCGTTTGGGCTTAAAGGAAACGCTTCTACACATCCTCCAGTCCAAATAAACCGGATGTTTAGTTTGTGAAGCACAACACAAATAGCTCATGTTGTTCAGGGACGTGTTTGCACCGGGCATTTGGAAAAAAGAAGAAAATAATGGAGTGGAGACGACAGACGGACGCACACATACATGTGAACACAGACAGGTTCTGTACCTGCTGTCCGACCGGAGGCTTTTGTGTGGCTTCAGCTCCACCGGATCTACGAGAGCAGAATCTACAAGTCTGTCTGTCGGCAGATAATGGAGCTTTTCTTGTCCTTTTCTGTACGTTGACCCTTTTACTGAACACCACCGTATTCCCGGCACATTTACCAAAAACAAAACAAACAACATTGTACAGCGCAAACACTGTGGCTCGTTAAAACATCTGACAGCAAAATACATCAAACCAGTCTTTACAAATGTACACTGATGCAGAGAATATATCAAGGACATTCCAGGTATATAAACCGTTAGGCACTAAAAGGTGTTTCAGAGTAACTTGGACCACCTTTTTTCTCCCGACTGATCCAGAACGGACCCTGGCCTAAGTCAGATCCACAAGTTGAGACTCGTGGTGCAAGAATCCAGATCACGTTCCAAAACACTGGGTGTTCTGAATAACTGAGGTTACTGGATATTGATGCTGTACACTTTTATTTTTCAGAAGGTTTCTTAATTACAAGTCGGAGATTATTTTGTGCAAATTCAATGAACCACACAAAACGACCATCATGTTTCCACAAACTCTGCAGCTCTTCGTTTACGTTTAAAGCAAGAAATTCAAAACGTGCACTTTCCACTAAACGGAACCAGCAAAATATATGAAAATATATCATGTCCATTGTTACATCTCGGTGTGCTTTAGTTTCCAAAATAAAGTTAATGCCAATAACCAGATGTTAGATTTATTCATGTTTTTGTTTGGTTTGGAAAGCTAAATGAAATAATGTAAAGTACTGAAGATGTTTTAATCATTTACAACAAGTAAACAGCAGAGAACTCATTCAGTAAGCTAATGTGGTTCATGATGGGGTTAGTATTAGTCAGGAACATGCTGGTACTTTGATCCGTTTCTGTTTGCTGGACTCAGACTGCTTTGACCCGTTTCTTCCTGTCAGTCAGAGAAGATGAGCAGAACTCACGAAGAGTCTGAACATGCAGCATCCACGGTTCAGTGAAATCACAAATGTTCTGGGACTCTGGATGTTATCTTGAAATCAGGAAGGCTGAACCTAGGACTGGACCGTCTATAGGTCCATGTCTACAGGTCGAACATCGCCCGTTTTGTTCTCTTTCACCCACAGCTCTCTGTCTTTGGCTGGATCCACGTTCTGCAGCAGCTGGTCCACCGGTTCCACCATCTGGGAGAAAAAAAAGATTGATTTCAATAAATCCACATTCAAAAGATGTTTTAAAGACAAAAGGTTGATGGAAAATGGAAAAAACAACTAAAAGTCACAGATCAAACTAGAGAAAATATGTCCTGCAAAAGTGCAGCATATACTCTGAGTCCTGAGTTTAAAACTAGGAATTAAACGCACTAAAAGCCTTAAACACACAGAAAACTTCAAGATCAATCAATTAAATGAATGAAAACGGACTAGCAGAAGGTAATGTTTTCAGTGCTTCACGTTAAAGAAATTGCAGACAAAATGTAGCCTTCAGCTCAGTTTTGTGGACCAAGGACTGAGCAAGAATTTCTGACTGAACTATAAGTTACTCAGCATCACAGACGTGTGTAGAAGAAAATAAAAATGCAATTTTTACTTGTGACAAAATAACATGAAGCGACCAGTAAACAGTGGAAGGTAACCTGTCTGCTCCACAGAAACACAACTCAGCTGAAAAATGTTGGTGTTGATAGACATTTAGCTCAGTTTTATGGCTTTTTGTCAGACTGAACCAGGAAATGGCTGCAGGAAGTCAAACAGAAAGCAACAAAACTACAGAGCAACCAGTGACTCCACCCCCTAGCCAATCAGCAGCCAGAATCACATTGCCACTGACTCAGCCTTGCTAGGTACCTCAACAGAGCAGGGACTAAAAATTGGGGAGAAAGCAGGGGCGGCGTTAGGCCCGGCTACTTGGGCTCAAGCCCCGAATGTTTAATGAAAAGCCCCGGATCTCAATCGTGGAAGTAACATGCAGTACCAAAGTCCAACAGAGAGGGAACAGCTGGCAGTAGTTTGTATACAGCCTGCCTGAGCCTCCACCACTGAAGAAGAAGCCCTTCAGCAGCCGGCTTCTTCTACACTCTCTGCCTGAAACGCAAGTGTAAAGATGGACATAAGGATGTTTGTTAGACCAAAAGTACAACGACAGAACCCCAGCTTTGATGAGACTGTTGTTGACTCAGGTTTGTGAGTCTTATTAGAAAATATTTGTTGTGCTGCTGGTTTGCCTAAAGTTAGCTTACTATCAGGTGAAGTGGAAAGAAAGGGAATATTTACTATCATCTCACACTAAACACTAACAGGAACAATACTCTGCCCTGAAAATGCTTAATATGTAGCTTCAGATTAAAAATTATGTGGTACAAGACAAATATATATGATGTTGACTATTGTATGTCACGTGTGTGTGTGTGTGTGTGTGTGTGTGTGTGTGTGTGCACGCACGCGCGCGTGTGTGTGTGTGTGTTAAGCCCTGGATCTTCTTCAGTCCTTAATCCGCCCCTGGGAGAAAGTAGAGGGGAAAATACTGAACAGTGCCCTTGGAAACCATGGTCGGGCCAAGCTGCAACAGTCCAAGTTACTATGAGTAGCGTTCCTGGAAAACCACCTTTAAATACCCGCTCTGTTAACAATAAGACCTTCCTGCTCAATGATCTAATTCTCTCTAAAAACCTGGATTTTCTGTTTCTGACTGAAGTTTGGCAGCAAACATCTGATTATTCTGCTCTGATTGAACTCTGCCCAAGTGGTTATTCTTTTCTTAGCCAGCCCCGGGGTTCTGGTCGTGGTGGAGGCCTAGCTGTTGTTTTCAGAGACCATCTTCCATGTAGCTCTACAACCTCTGGTCACTTTGCTTCCTTTGAACTGCAGCTGATTAAAGTCGGGCGTAAGGACCCGTTCTACTGTGCTGTGGTCTATCGTCCACCTGGTCCAAACAGTTCTTTCCTTCAGGAGTTTAGTGACTTTCTATCCTCCTCTGTGGTGATTGTTGGTGACTTTAACATCCACGTTGATGATCCCTCCGATCTCTTTGCCATGGTTTTCTCCAGCCTTATGGACTCATTCAGCTTTACCCAGCATGTTTCTGGCCCCACACACACCAGGGGGCACACTCTAGACCTTGTTTTTACCCTGGGTCTAAATGCTGACAGTGTTTGTCCTGAGGACGTTTATATTTCAGATCACCATTGCATTTTCTTTAACTTGTCAGTTTCTGCGTCCCCACCTCCTGCTCGCCGTATGCTTAGTTCTCGTTTTCTTAATGAGAGCACAGCTAGCAATTTTTCTGCTGCTTTTGATCCACCCTGTTCTTCTGACAACGACCCAGATTCCTTAACTTCTCAGTTTAACGAGCACTGCCTCTCCATTCTGGACAACATCTGTCCTGTCAGAACCAGATCAGTTCCTACAGTGAACCCTACTCCCTGGTTTAATAACAGCCTTCGCAGCCTGAAGCACCAATGCAGAAAAATTGAGCGTTTGTGGAAGAAAACCCGTCTCCACGTCCATCTGCTGCATCTAAAGCAGGTGTGAGGCACCCTGGTCCTCGAGGGTCGGTATCCTGCACGTCTTTGCTCCAACACTTCTGATTGAGTGGTTGAATCACCTGTGCAGCAGCTCATCAGGCTCTGCAGAAGCCTGTTAATCATCTGTTGGCTGTAATCAGGTGTGTTGAAGCAGGGTTGAAACTAAAATATGCTGGATCTAAACGATCTTCTGACCTCCTTTAACTCTCCAACCTGATGTCCCAGAGCAAAGGGAACCCCAAGGTGCTGTTTAACACCATCAGCAGCATCGTCTCTCCTGCCACTCCTACAGCCTCCATCCACTCTGTTGCAGACTGTGAGAACTTTCTGTCTTTCTTTGTGGACAAAGTCAATAAGGTTAGATCTAGCATCTCTCCTTCAGCCTTATCGCCGCCTCTCCCGACTCCAACCAGGCCCATCATCCTAGATAGCTTTGCTCCTGTTTCTTTGCCTGAGTTAACCAAACTAGTTAACTCTATGAGGACCTCTGCATGCCCCCTCGACATCTTACCCTCATCTTTGGTAGGCCTATTTGGAACTGCTCTGAAGTGGTTCTTATCTGGCTGCCAGTCAACTTCAGGGTTCATTTCAAGATCCTGGTTCTGGTCTATAGGGCCTTACATGGACAAGCACCATCTTACATTGGTGATCTTCTTAGTCCCTACACCCCCAGCAGGTCCCTGAGGTCCAGTGACCAAAGCCTACTGGTTGTGCAGCACCAGGCTAAAGGTCAAAGGTGACAGATCATCTGCTGCTGTGGCCCCCAGACTCTGGACCTCTCTCCCCCTGAGCCTGAGATCAGTGGACTCAGTGGTCCATTACCATTACATCAGATAAAAGAAAAAAATAAATACACGACCAAACAACAACAACCAAACAAAAAAAACAACACAAACCTACATAAGATACAACAATTAAAGCAGCAAAAACAATCAGAAGAAGAACGATTAAAAGCAAGGCTAAGAGACACAAACTCACACTCTGGTTGAACATGTCAGTTTCGTGCCGTAGAGTTGTGTACTGACGGAGGTGCTGCTGAATCCATTCAATCCTTTCCACCTCTAGTTTCTCCAGTTCCTGCAGAGGACAGAACCCCACCCCCGTTTAACAGCTCTGACCCAAACGGAACCAACAGATTCTGTTTCTCTAACTTCAGAATCGTGTTTCTGGTCAGTTTTTAACCTCAAATCTAGTATGATCACAGGAATTTATGGTTTGTTCATAATAAAGATGCTTCACCATGCTAGTTGTGACCATTTCTTCAAACCACTTGCACTGGGTTTGATTGTAGAGGTCGACGCAGCGCATCAGGTCATCCCCTGGAGCAAAGCATCATGCCAAAGAGTCAGAAAACATCAGCTTCAATCAGATATCTGCTTATTTATGAGGTTTCAGTTCTGCTTCCTGCTTTCAAGGTTTCTGCTGCTACACCAGTCAAGAGCACCAGAGGGCGCTCAGAAACCACCTCTGAATCTGCTGCTGAATCACTGACAAATCTAACTAGCTCTTAGTAGTGCCATTTCGAAAGAATCAATAATTAATTAATCTAAATAAAAATCTAATAATATTAAATACATTATAGTAGTAAAAATCCCATTAAATAAATAATATTATCAACATTTGTGGTGGTGATCCAGGTCGAACCCAGAGGAATTCAGACTAACACACTGAATCCAGCAGGCAGTGTTCCCCAGAGTGTCCCCTAAGGGCAGAACAATTAAAAAGCAGATATTTCTGATTAAAATGTCAAACACAACGCTGCTCAGGCGGGAGCCATGTCCTACAATCACTTTCTCATTTTGCTTTTAATGAATTTAACTAAAAACTTGAAGAATTAAAACATGTTAGAATATTTTACAAGAAAAGTCATCTCCACTATGGAAAAATAAACTAGGATCACCAGAAACACTTCTCTTTGGGGGCAACTTGTGAGTATGCGTGAACATGTGTTGACTCTTGACCTCTGACCTGCTTGCGTGGATTTTCGTCGCGCCTTCTTGATGTCTTCCTCATGTTTGTTGCTGAGTTTGATCTCCAGCTGCTGTGTTTTCACCTCCAGGTCCTTCTGCCGGTCCGCCAGGGCTTTACGGGCCTGTGCATTACACGCACGCACACGCACACACGCACACACACACACACACACACACACACACACACACACACACACACACACACACACACACACACACACACACACACACACACACACACACACACACACACACACACACACACACACACACACACACACACACACACACAGATTAATAGTCTCTTTTTGCCAGCTCCTGATGAGCCTATTGATCAGGCTTTGACTTATGGCGAATCACCTGACAGACTCACCATCTACTGTGCAAATAATCTTTCATTGTTTATTGTATTTTTGTTCATAAAAATGATAAAAAAACAAACAAAATAATCCCCACCATAAAGTTGTGCACCATCTACATTAAGATGTAGCTGATGGGAACATTTCTGAGTGCCAGCGCTGACATGTCGCCGCCGCCCACCTCAAGCTGTCAGTAAAGTCCAAATGAAAAACAAAAGTGATGCGGGAGGAAGGAGGCAGCAGCCATTCATCAGCTGATTCAGCATGTGGGAGGCACAATGTTCCTGAAGCTCCCATCATTATGTCATCACTCTGATGTAAACAAACCTTTGGACACATTTACGAAGCCTTCCGTACCTTTTCCACGCTGGCAAAGCGACTCGCCAGCTGCTTCCTGAGGTCGGCGATGTGGTGGTCATACTTCTTCAGGTCCTTCTTGAAGTTGTCACCTCTGAATGACAGCAGGGGTTTTTCGACCTCCGAGTGCAGCTGCAGAGACACATCACAAAACTCTTGTTGCTTAAGTTCAGCTTTGAAACAGCAACGCTCATGAGAAGATAAATCAGAACCAGAAGTCAAATGCAAGATGGCTGCCGATGGCTGGACTGGTTTGTTTGGCTCAATGCCTTCTCTGGCTTTTGACATTTTCTTTCACTTTCTGCTGACTACAGTGAGAGCTACTCAACAGAGTTTCCCTGAAGTAAAGCATTGCCTGGACTTTAACCAAGTTTTGAATAACAGGAACATGGAAAATGGCTATGTTGGGACAATGCTTCTCTGCATGTGGCTGCTGATTGTTCCACCTGTTCAGGGCCTCAGCCTCAGTCTGGAAATGGATCAACCATCAACTCCTGCACAAGGTAACTCTCTGAAGGACACACCAAGGCTGAAGTTTTTTGGACATGGATATTTAGCAACTTATTCCATCTTCTGGCAAAAAGAACACTACAATGAGAAAGGAAGCAGACCAATTAAGCAAAACAAATGGCATGCTTATACTACACTGCTACTGCTGCTGCTAAGTGGGGATATACAGCTCAATCCAGGACCACTGGAAAGTTCTAGCTCTGGACAAATGGCAAAACTGGACATTGCAGAGACACTTATTCAAAGTGATTGTTGCAGTGGGATGGAACCAATAAACATCTTCCATGTGGAGTCATCGATCTGTGCCGGCCCTGCCACCATCAGGCTACCTGCTACTGTTAGCAGCAGTAGTAGCCCAGTTACCACCAAGCAAGGCCTAGACTTCAGCTGTACTGGTTCTAGCTGCCCAACCTCAGCTGCCATTAAGCAAGGCCCTCGCTCCAGCTGTACCAGTTCAGCTACCACCAAGCGATGCCCAGGCTTCAACTACAGCAGCACAGCTACTACCAAGCCAGGCTCCAGCTGTACCAGCCCCAGGTCCACTACCCCAGCTGCCATCAGGCAAGGCCCATACTTCACCTGTCCTAGCTCAGCTTCCACCGAGCGACAGCTGGACTCAAGCTGCAGCAGCGCAGCTGCCATCAGGCCGGGCTTCAGCTGTGCCGGCTCTGGCTGCTGTGTCCCAGCTGCCATTGGGCAAGGCCCACACTCCAACTAGGATGGCGGTTCTGCTGGGCAGCCAGGCAGCGCTCGGCCGGCTGATCTGGGTGCAGCAAACTCTGCTCTCCCTCCCTGTGCTCACTATGGTCCAGGTAGGCATGGGACAGTCAAGAGCTTTCATAGAATAGGGGCAGGTGCCATTCAACAAAGAGTCGGGGGACTAAATCCAGCAATTATAAAACTGGGTAAAACCAACCTTTTCCAAACGGTGAACAATGCTAAAGTTTTATGGGACCCTCGATCAAAACCCAGTGGGCTACTGGGAGGTCACTTGAATATCCGTAGTTTGAGTTCTAAAAGTGATGAGATAAAACATGTACTTATGGACTCTAACTTGGACTTCCTATGTTTATCAGAAACTTGGTTAAATAAAAATTCCCCATCTGCAGCCCTACTTATTCCTGGCTATAATGTTTTTAGGAAAGATAGAAAGACTGGTAAAGGTGGGGGGTTACTGTTTTATATCAAAGACCATATATCATGTAAAGAGGTTCATTGCTCAGTTAATGAGCTTGAGCATATCTGCCTTAATATTAGTTTGTCACCACAAATGTCCTTTTTTATCATTGGAGTGTATAGACCACCGTCTGCTAAAGCAACTTTCTTTGACAAATTAGAAACTGTTCTGAAGGAATGTAGCTCAGGGAAGGAAATGTTGGTAATGGGGGACTTCAATGTAAATTGGGAGGATGAAGGCACCAGCAAAGCACTACGAAGGGTAACACATTTGATTTTACTCAACTAATTAAAGGGCCCACCAGAATAACATCGTCTTCAAAAACTCTAATTGATTTGATATTCACTAACAAGCCTGAAAGGGTGACAAAATCATTTAGCATGGTTACTGGTCTGTCTGACCATAACCTTACTCTTATAGCAAGGAAGCTCACTAAATCCTGTTTCTATATAAAGCCTCACACTAACTCTTGCCACTTTAGAATACCCAAATGTGATGTTGATAAATTTGTTAAGGAAATCAAAAATATTAACTGGGATCAAATCATATCTGGTGTAGCTGTGGATAGTGATACAAATGTCCTTATGTCCACTATCCAAAACATAACAAAGCGATTCCTTAAGAAAAGCAAACCTAAAGGGAATAATAGGTGTACACTCCCCTGGATCTCTAGTGACAGAAGATTAATGAAAGAACGAGACAATGCCTTAAAACTATCTTAAGACCAACCTATTGACTGATAGACACATATCTGTGTTCTTGAGAAACAAAGTAATTAGGGGAATCAGGGTTGCTAAATCTAACTTCTTTGTTGACCTCATACGAGATGCTAAGGGTGATCACAAACAAGTTTGGAATTGTCTGCATGAATTAATGGGGAAAGGACACAGCAAAGCAACAACGCAGTTGGAGATCAAAGACAAAAATACTCTATATAAGGACCAGCTAAAATAGTGGCTATTCTCAATAACCATTTCATTAATTCTGTTAGACAAACTGTGATTAGTCCCATAAATGGTCCACTCGACTATTTACCAATTGACATAGCACAGCCAGTATTTGTCCTGACTGAAATGTCTGAATTTAAGGCTAAATGTAAAATTACGTCTATTAAAAACTCCAAATCAAAAGATATATTTGGACTTGACTCCATGTTTTTAAAGAAACATGCTGCCTCCCTTGCAGGGCCTATAACTAAAATCATAAACACCTCTTTTAAGGAGGGTACATTTCCAAACAACTGGAAGTCTGCTGTTGTTGTACCAGTCTACAAATCAGGAGATGCAACTGACATGAATAACTATAGGCCGATTAGTATCTTGCCCATTATGTCTAAAATCTCTGAAAAATGTGTAGCTGAGCAGTTGACTGAGCATCTTAACAGTACACCTTCTAAACTGCATCCTATGCAATTTGGCTTTAGAGCAAATCACTCCACAGAGACAGCTAACTGTTTCTTTGTGGAAAACATAGTCTAAATTGGACAAAGGAGGTATAGTTGGAGCCATCATTTTAGACTTGAAAAGAGCTTTTGACACTGTCAGTCATGACATACTCATCCAGAAGTTGTCTTGTTTTAACTTCTCAACCAGTGTTATAGACTGGATGAGATCTTACTTAGCAAACAGAGCTCAGTGTGTGAGAGTTAATGGTGAAACATCAACACCATTGAGGAATGAGCTGGGTGTACCCTAGGGATCTGTTCTGGGCCCTATTCTGTTCAGCATCTACATAAATGACCTGCCATCAGTGTGCACTGGATGTGAGGTGTAGATGTATGCTGATGACACAGTCATATATGTTCATGCAAAAGCTAAAGCCCAAGCCGCTGCTAAGCTCAGTGATACTATGGTACATGTACATACATGGCTCACTTGCTCACAGCTGTATCTCAATGTAAAAAAGACCGTTTGCATGTTTTTTAGCAAAAGGAACATTTCATCCAACTGTGAACCTCCTGTGTGTGTGTCTGGGGAGGTCATTCAAACAGTTACATGGTTTAAATATCTAGGCATTATTATTGACAATACGTTATCATTTAAACATCAAGTGAGAAAGGTAGTGCAAATTACCAAATATAATCTAGCAAACTTTAGGTATATAAGACTCTGCTGGACAACACATGTAGCTATGCTATACATGAACACTATGATATTCCCTCATCTAACATATTGTATTACAAACTGGACCCAGGTGTGTGGTACAACATTAAGACCTATCCTATCACTTCACAAACAGGCACTTAAAGTCTTAGACAAAAAAATCCAACCTCTACCATCACTGTAGTGTCCTTACCAAATATAATCTACTTAGTTGGGAAAATATTTTAAAACACAGTGATGTGTGTTTAATCTTTAAGATTATCAATGGGAAGGCTCCCCCACCACTTTGTACTTTTAAAAAGCTGAGAGCAGCCTCTGGCCTGAGAAAACTTCCCTCTGCCTGAATAATGTGGTGGAGCCCAGGTGGGTCAGAACCGCCGCGGGCTGGCGGCTCACCAGAACACGGAGCTGGCTAATTAAAACACAGACACAATCTCTGAGGCCTGAAAGTTGTTTTCTTCAGTCGGCACAGAGAAGGTGAGATCATCACTCGAGGACAGAGTTGGATCAGGCTTTATTACAGAAAATAACGAAAACCGCATCTGAGGATGTATAAATACGGATAAAACACACAAAGTAACAATAAATAGGTGACACTATTTATAAAATAATGTTTAGAGATACTGTTAGTAAAGTTAACGATACATTTTAAACCAGCTGATTTAATGAAAAAACATTTTCCAGCTTGTCTGAAGTCCTTTTTGCTTCGTTATGAACGACTGTAATCTGGCTGGGTGCTGATTGGCTGACTTGCCTGTTCCTCATCTGGATTGGCTGTGTTTTCCTCTATATTTGTAACATTTCTCTGCATCTTATTTTGGTGATATTATTTTTACGAGACTGAGCTGATTTTAAAGGAGTACTACAATGAGGTTTATGTACAAGTGTAAATGCATCTCTGAGCCTCTATAAAGCATATGCAGCTTTGTTGGACCTAACATATCCCAGAAGCCCTGATTATGATAAGTGACCAAATAAATGAAACGTAAGGAGGCTCATTATAAAAAGACCTGCGTTCCCCGCCCGCCCACTCCACCAGGACATACATGTTCAGTGAGCTGCATACCGACTACACTGTTTACCTCTATGACTTTATGACTACCGGAGGACAATATTGCGTGTGTGTGTGTGTGTGTGTGTGTGTGTGTGTGTGTGTGTGTGTGTGTGTGTGTGTGTGTGTGTGTGTGTGTGTGTGTGTGTGTGTGTGTGTGTGTGTGTGTGTGTGTGTGTGTGTGTGTGTGTGTGTGTGTGTGTGTGCCTGCCATTGTGGTTACTTTTCATTTTTTATATTAATTTCCCCCATTTTTTGTTATTATAATCCCTCTTATTTATCGTTGATTCATGTATTTTTCTTGTGCGTTGCCCCATGATTTTTACCTAGAAAAGGTTAAATGTCAGTTCAGACGACAGGGGAAGGGGTTGTGTACAAAGAAAGACGTGAATGTCGCAGAGGTCCCCACTAATGCGTGCAATCAAGAATGAGTGTGTTCGGCAAAGTCTGGCTGCTTGTGGAGGGTTTGCAGACAAAGGAAGAGGAGAAGTACTTGACCGGACCACACACTGGAGCTATCAGGCATGATTTTAACAATACATCCTGGAACCCATTCACATGCTGGTGGTGATGATCTACGGTGTAGCCCCAGCTGCCCTGTTGCACTGACTGAGATGAAGCCTGCCAAACACAGGCACACCGGTCCTTCCGACCACCGCCAGCAGGCGAGGTGGGTTTAGTGTCTAGTCCCAGGACACAACAGCAGCATTCTCTGGTCAGAGCCAGGATCAAACCTGCAACCTTCCAATTACTGAACAACCCGCTCTACCTCCTGAGCTGCGGCTGCCCCCAGCAGCACGAGTCCAGATCTTGGCATCTGAAACTGCTTTCTCCTCGGGTGAATTCTTCATGCTTAACCAAGCTCATTTTAGTCTCAACCTTCTTCATTTGACCTGGTTTAATAGTAGCCATATAACATTTCAGCAAAAGTTACCTTGTTGGAGAACTTTAGGTGAACTTCAGCTTCATCATGAAGACTTTTCTTAAGCTGAGTCCAGGCTTCTCCCAGGGTCCTGAGGAGACATCAGAAATGAAGAAAAAAGGTCTTACACTTTCAGAACAAACTCAGCTTTTAGCTCAGCCTCTTCTGATTCTGAAGTCCGCTCAAATATTTTATAAATGTTTTGATGATTGGAGCAACTTTTAAAATGAGTATCTCACAGAAAAAGAAGTTCTATCTTTGGGTAGGGCCGGCCCATCTCTGGAGGGAATTCTGGTGATTACTGACACTCTTCCAGCTTCAGAGCTGATTCACCCATCAGCTTCTGTTTGCTACACTCACCCTTCCTCCTGCGCTGCCAGGGCGCTCAGAGACAACTTGGAGAGGTTTTTAGCGTATTCCTCTTCAATCTTTATCCTGGAACGCAGACGTGTGAAGCAGTTAGCTGTCTGATGGGAGGGAGGACAAAGACGGCTGCAGAAGCCAGAATTAAATCAACTTTTACCTTTTTATAGGAAAACAGCACTGCAGTGCTTAGACCTTTTTCTAGAGCAGCTCGTTTTCAGAGTAGCATGTTTTCTGAGCAGATGTTCTGGCTTCTCGTCTCCATGTCAGAGACACACTTCTGTTCACCCTGAGGGACTTCCCACCACAGTGGCCATGTTTGTGCCCTTTACATGCTCTCCCTCCATCCACCGCACATTTACCTTCCACACCTGAATAAATCTGTCACCTAAAGAAGGCCGCCGGGATCGTTCTGACTTAATGTTAGGACTCTTGGGCGACTTGGTGAAACGCAGCAGAGAAAGGTCATTTCTGAATAAAACTCTGCTTCAGAGAAAACAGCAGCTTGCTGGTTATGCCGGAGCTCCGGATCAGCATCCTGGCACTCAGAGAAGGGAGGACTCAAATAGTTATTTACACTCAACAAAAATATGAACGCAACACTCTTGTTTTTGCTCCCATTTTTCTTGAGCTGAACTCAAACATCTGAAACTTTTTCTACTTACATTGTGGGCAGTCTAAGGCACACCTGTACAATGTTCATGCTGTCTAATCAGTCCATTGATATGCAACACCTGTGAGGTGAGGTGGATTATCTTGGTAAAGGTAAAGTGCTCACTAACACACATGTAGACAGATTTCAGAACAATATTTGATTCACGGCTGTTTTGTGTATGTAGATATTTTTTGAGTTCAGCTCATGAAAGATGGGATCAAAAACTAAAGTGTTGCATTTATATTTTTGTTCAGTGTATGTTCACTCACACACACACACACACACACACACACGTGCGCACGTGCACACACACACGCACATGCACGCACGAACACACACACGCACGCGTGTGTGCATGCACACACACACGCACACACGCACGCATGCACACACACACACGCACGCACGCACGCACACACACACGCATACACGCACGCACGCGCGCACACACCCACTCACACACACACACACACACACAAACACATGCGCGCACGCACACACGCACTCACACACACACACACACGTGCGCGCATGCACACACACACACACTCACTCACTCACTCACTCTCACACACACACACACACACACACACACACACACACACACATGCGCGCATGCACACACACACACACACACACACACGCGCACGCACGCACATACACACACACACACACACACACGCACACACACACACACGCACGCACGCGCGCACACACACACACACACTCGCACACACACGCATGTACGCACGCACACACACACACACCAGTATTTTTTAATGATCTCTGTGGATTGGAGCACTTCACACTTAGACACACCAGGGCCTCTCGGAGGATTTCTGGCCTAAGAGACTTCAAAATGTGGCAGGAAAGGGAATCAAACACATGATCATGATCTGAAAATGATTTCTTTAAAGGCCCACCAAATGGTGGACATTTAAAAAATCCAATACACTCTCGAAGACAAGTATTTAAATAATTTTAATCTCTGATAATTCCCAGGAACTCACTTAATCTGGAGTCGAATGCAAAGATTTTCCTGCCTGTCTCATGTTGATTTATTTTCAAATTATTTTATGACACAGTAAACTTTAAACTCAGAAAAAACAGAGGGGATTGTGTGTGTTTTCACCTGTTCTCTTACTTCAGTAATGATCTTGTATCTTTAAGATCTTTTAAATTCCTTCATGAATATTTCCTCTTCTTGAGCAGCTCAGACTTTCTCTCTTTACTAAATTAGATCTGCTGATGCTGAACTGAACCTGAGTGCAGTCAGGGCTGTTACCTTTCGTGGATAAACTCGGCCATCTCTTTCTGCATCTGTTTCCCCTTCAGCTGCTTCTGCAGCAGAACTTCGAAGCCAGCCACTTGGGCCGTCCCCTGAGGGTCCTTCTTGTCGGCCTGAGGAAGACGAGGGCATACAGTTTGTGGACTCACCAGCCTGAAACACCTCTCAGTATTTCACTCGTAAAATCCGTGGGGCTCAGAGAGAGTGAGCTGAGGGTGATGAGTCAGAAACACTATGAATGCATGATTCATGCTGTCACGGAGGGCATGCGTTGGTGTTTGTGCGTCAGTCACTGATGGGCGGACGTGTGTTTCTGAGCACATGGATGTCAGATGTGATTGGATCATGTGTCGTGTTTCTGACAGCAAACGTGGGACCCAAGTGTCAGAACTGAGTTGCTCATCAGCTTCAAGCAGCAGGTCAGAAAACAGATAAACAAACAGCAGCTCAGGGGCAGGAGGCAAACGGTCGGATTTCAGCAAATACACAATCCGAAGAGGCTTTCAATACAAATCTCATCAGAATGGATCGTGTGGAGAAAGCAAAATGGAGCTACAGAGGAGCCATTAAAACCAGGAGATAATCATATTCACATGAAACAAAAGTACATTTAGTTGGTTTTCACAGATCTCATAATTCAGTTAACGCACATTCAGCAGCAGAGATTACTATAAAAGCGGACATCAGATACTTATAAGTGGACATTTTCATGCTTTACTTAAAAAAGGAAATAGTATACTTTAGTTTAAATTTACAGTAAAACTTTTTGGTCTAGAGTAACACTGTGGCTGACTGTAATCGATGTCTGTAAATAATACAGTGAATTAAGTATATTTGCTGGTTACGTGTCATTTTAATTCACATTCAATGTTTGCAGTATCAGCGACAATGTTCTAGTCAGTTCAAAATAAGATATAAAGGTGTCGATTACTTGTTTAATAAAAACAATTGCTGTGGTCTCTGGAAGGAATGAATATCTTGCAGGCAGAACTCAGGGCACAAAAAGCCCACAAACCCATATGTCAGCAGGCCAAGTCTATGCCATCACAGCTGAGCGTCAGACGACAGAATGAATTTGGAGTCTTATTTCCTGACATTTGGACATCTCGCCCCAGATTGGCTAACAGCAACATGGCTTTACCACTGATTTGCAACACTGATGTTTTATCTCCACAAATAACACACGCCTGAAGGAGTTTCTGCCGTGAAGAGAAGTTCCTAATGCTAACGGTTAGCTTAAACTGATGCTGATTCCCCAGGGCTGCCAACTCTCACTCTGAGCGTGAGACACACGCATCTTCAAATGCTCTCGCACCACGTCTCAATTTCTCACGCTGAAAAAGTACCACAGTGAGGTGAGTTGGACGTTGGGTATTCAACAGACATTTACTCCACGTCTCACAACAGTCAGATATAGGGGTGGGTACCAAATTCGGTACTTTTTAAGGCCCCAATCTATTTCCGTGGTACCGACAGAGAATTGATTCACGTGATATGAAACCATGCCTTGTCTCTGTACCATAGAGTTTTGGTACCAGTCCTTTATTAATGCGAGCTTGCAAAACAGTGATTAGCCGAGATAGACAGCAGCACATGTGCAAGAGCGTAATGGAGCCAGTCGCTGTGGGCAAGATGTAAACAGAGAAAGTAGCATGGTAATAAAATGCGCTCTAAAGTTTGGATCCGCTTCACTAAATGCGATGGGTGACTGAGTGATGATGACAACACTGACAATGGCCTAAATGAGCTATCATCATATTAATCTGCTCCAGCAGGTAAATAAACTGTTTAAGATAACGTTAGCTTGATACTTTAGCTTCCATTGCTATCAGCTAGTGATGCGTTAGCTTTCTCCTTCTACTTGGAAATTCCAACTTCCGAGTAGGAAAAATCAACTGTTTGAAAAAGAATGAAAACACAGTAAATTTAGTTCACAGCAAAACATTTTTTCTTCAGTTTTATTTGCAGTTTCTAAAACTACACGGACCCACCCATCTCACCATTTGTGCAAAGGGGAAAGGAGAGCAAAAGGAGTACATGGAGCTGGGTTTTAGTTTGTCAAACACCACCAAATAAAAATACAAACAGTTGCATGGTATGGAAGTTTGTTTTAGTTTCATTTGTAGTTTACATGGTCTCCTCATCATAGCTATTCCAAAGGGCATAGAAGAGGAATAGGACTACTCGGAGCTGGGTTTTACTTTTTGCTGTGGTTAAAAGTTCTATACTGAGGAATTTTGTACAACACTATGATGATAAAACACAGTTTGTATGTTATTTATCGTGATATTTATCAAATATGATTATTTATTGAGGAAAAAAATAGATATTTAATTGAAAAAGGTTGAATTAACTGGGATTAAAGGTTTTTCTTTTTGATCTGAACCAAACTGAAACTGATAACTGTAACAGCTTGAGGGGAAAAGGTGAAACAGCTCTGGGAGAGGTGTTTTCTTTTTGAAGAGGAAAGACTAAAATTACATGACAGTGATGCTGTATAGTTAATTGTAAACATGCTTTGATAAAGTGCGACACTCACCCAGAAGTAATCGCAGTAGCTCCAGTCATTTGGCTTCAGGAGCTGCTGCTCCGGACCTTCTCCAGGCAGAGGAAATGTCACACAGTTGATCTGATACAAAGGAAAGAAAAGAATGGAATGAAACTTAATTTGTTGAAAACATAATTAGGAGCATCCACGGAGACATGAGATGTAGAAGTGGGCTCTATTACAGATTTAATGGAGCTCACTTCTATCTGACATTTTTGTCTATATGTTACTTCTTTCAAGGATCAGGGACATTAAAACACAAAGTCTGGAGAACAACAACAACTTCTACAAAACTAACGGAAAATAAAAAATTGTAAAGTCAAAAAACGAAATGTTTTTTAGAAGTAATCAGAGTCTGTATAATATAGAACAAGGAAACCAGCTGGTTATCTTAATACTGTCACACCCTGTCCTGTCTCCCCATTTGGTTCAGCCTGCGTCTCTGTTAGTTGCTCCCACCTGCGTCTCGTTTTCCAATCACCCAAGCTCCCAGCCCTCTTGTATTTAAACCCCTCCAGTTCTGTGTCTCTTGTTGGCTCATTGTTCCCATGTCCTGCGTGCGCTTGTTATTAAAACCTTTTACGTTACCCAGTTTGTCTACCTGCCTGATTCCTCCCCAGCGTGTGGATCCTCACCTCCGTTCCACTCACCGGCACGTCGACAGAATGAGCCAACCCACGGAAGGATCCAGCGGGGAGGTTATCCCTTGGGAGATCCTGCTCCAGTTTCTCGCCACGGACCACCGGCCGGCTCCTCTTCCTCCGGCTTCGCCTCGCCGCGGACGCCGCCGCCGAGCCCGGGCCTCAGCGATCCTCTCCACCCTCCCGGAGCCGGATGGAGACTTGGACGGGGAGGCTCAGATGGACTGCTCCTGCTATGTGGGCACCAGGCTGGCTGTGTGCTCCCCCGGGGTTGGTCTGCGGCGTCGGGAAGGATGCCGGACTCCACTGTCACCCCTGTCCCAGGACGGAGCCACGAGCTCGCCGCTGCCCCGGCCCGGTGCGCCAGTTTGGACCCGCCCCCAGTCAGACAGCAGTCCCGTCTCCGGTCCAATCAGCGCCTCTGTCATCTGCACGCGGAGGAACCACGCCTACAGCCCAGCTGACAGAGCTCGCCGGTCTCCAGGCGGAGCTTGGCCAGATCCGTCAGCTCGTCAGCCTCCGGGAGTTCCAGCTGGACACCCTATCCTCCCCGTATCTCCAGGAGAAGGTTTCTGTCCAGCCAGCGGCCCCACCTCCGGTCCAGTCAGCAGCTCTCTCATCTCCAGGCCAAAGAACCGAGCTCGGAGCCCATCCAACAGAGGTCGCCGGTCTCCGAGCTGAGCTGGTCCGACTCCGTCAGATCCTCAGTCTCCAGGAGTGCCAGCTGGACAATCTATCCTCCCTGCTTTTCCATTTACCGGCTCTACCAGGTCCTGCGCCACCACTCCAATCAGCGCCAGGTCCCGTGCCACCAGTTCAGTCAGCGCCAGTTCCAGCAGTGGTCCAGGACGCTCCGCCCCCGGGCCAACCTGTCCAAGAGGCTCTGCCCCCAGGCCAGCCTGTCCAGTGGTCAGCGCCCAGTACGGCGGCACCTGCCAAGGAAGAGGTCCCGACTTCAGCGGCTCCGCCTCCACTCCAGAAGTCGGTGGCCCTTCCTGCAGCGGCTCCGCCTCCACTCCAGAAGTCGGTGGCCCTTCCTGCAGCGGCTCCGCCTCCGGTCCAGAAGTCGACGCCTCCGGTCCAGAAGTTGACGGTTCCGGTCCAGAAGTCGACAGTTCCGGTCCAAAAGTCGGCGGTCCAGAAGCCGGTGCCTCCGGACCAGAAGCCGGCGCCTCCGGACCAGAAGCCGACAGAGGTCGCCGCTCCTTCCCGTCCAGAGGTCGATGCCCTCTCCCGTCCAGAGGTTGACGCCCTCTCCCGTCCAGAGGTCGACGCCTCCCCCTCCAGTCCAGAGGTCAACGCCTCCCCCTCCAGTCCAGAAGCCGACGTCTCCCCCTCCAGTCCAGAGGCCGTCAACGCCGCCTGCAGTCCAGAGGCCATCGACGCCGCCTGCAGTGCAGTGGCCGTCGACGCTGCCTCCAGTCCACAAGTCCAGGACGTCTCCTCCGGCGTCTCTGCCTCCGCTCACCGCCGGTTCTCCCCTCACCAGACGCAGGCCCCCAAGAGCCCGTTGTTACCTCCTCCTCTGCCACAGACGCAGGCCCCCCAGAGCCCATCGTCACCTTCTCCTCTGCCACAGACACAGGTCCCCCAGAGCCCGTCGTCACCTCCTCCTCTGCCACAGACGCAGGCTCCCCAGAGCCCGTTGTCGCATCCTCCTCTGCCACAGACGCAGGCCCCCCAGAGCCCGTCGTTACCTCCTCCTCTGCCACAGACGCAGGCCCCCCAGAGCCCGTCGTCGCCTCCTCCTCTGCCACTGACGCAGGCCCCCGGACTCAACTGGTCCCTGCCTCCTCTCCATCGGTCCCTCTCGGCCCTCCCTCCAGGTCCCCCTCCTACCGCCCTGCTCTGTGTTCCTATGGGCGTCTGGGATCCGCCCTTTGGGGGAGGGGGGGGGGGGGGTACTCTCACACCCTGTCCTGTCTCCCCATTCTGTTCAGCCATGTGTTTCTGTTAATTGCTCCTTCCTGCCTCTTGTTTTCCAATCACCCAAGCTCCCAGCCCTCTTGTATTTAAACCCCTCCAGTTCTGTGTCTCTTGTTGGCTCATTGTTCCCATGTCCTGCATGCATTTTTTATTAAAACCTTTTATGTTACCCAGTTTGTCTATCTGCCTGATTCCTCCCCAGCGTGTGGATCCTCACCTCCGTTCCACTCACCGGCACGTTGTGACAAATACTCAAAGAGGAAAGTTATGTCAAAAGTGTAAGTGGTCCTAAAACAAAACCCTGATGAACTCCACAGTTCTGAGATCAGGAGCAAATATGTCAACCAGCTGTGCTGCATTTAGGAAAATCAGATGAAACAAATCTATCAGAAGACACCTCAGAAAAAATGTAAAGTCAAAGCAGTTATTTGATTATCATTCATGTTTTATTTCAAACTTAGCTGTTCAGTGATGACTTTAAGAAGAAAACTAGCTGAATAAGCTTATGACAAACTAATTGTTTTGTGTTTGAATATTACCTAAGATTAGTCACAAACACAGCAAATCTCCCAAACAAAGAGAAAATAAAATTACATTTAACAGGAGATCAAAGAAAAGAAGGACGTGAGTGAATGTTGTGATACAAGAAGAGACCCGAGGGGATGCAGGGACAATGCTGTCACTCAACAAAACAACAAAACAGAGGAGAAAACACTTAATGTTCAGATTAAACACACATTAAATTGTGTTTCTACAGTTAATCGGCCTGAATACAGACTCTGCAGCATCTTCAATTACTCCCCTGGATGCAATTATGTAATGTTCACCATCTGCCAGCACCCCCTCCCTCGTGCCAGCCGAGCTGCACGGGCTTCCGGACCCGAAGCTTCACCCTCGAACACAGGGAACTGCTCTGGCTCACAGTGTTTACAGCTCAGCACCAAGCTTCTGCCGCAAACATCCACCAGCTGATTTCAGCTTTTCCCTCCCAAAATAAACCAGGATGCAGCTTTTTAACAACACTGTGCAGCTATTTAAAAACAGCTCAGACATCAACAGTTAGAAGGGATTTTCATCTTTTCTGTAAAAAATCTAAAAACCGCACTAGTCCTGCAGAAATCTATTCAGCTGAGAGAAAAATCTCAACTGGCTCAGACTTTTGTTAAAGAAACATTTATTTCAAACCAGTTTAAGAGGCACTGCTTCCACCTGCTGCAGAACAAATTCAACCAGATCAGTTACAGATCGGCTAAAACCTGCAGCTCATTTAAAGAAGCCCTGAGAGTCTGTATGTGTGTTGGTGTCATGTACAGAATTGTCTCCCTGTTCACAACCGTTCCCCACCTCAGTGCCAGATCAACACTTTGTTGTACCCTGGGAAACAATATTAAAAGGCCCCATCATCACGACCCATAATATGGTCACATACAGAATATTTTACTGTAATATGCAGTAAATATACTCAATACTTGACAGCCTGACATCACGTAACCCCGCTCAGGATAACCTTTGACCCACCTCGTGTGGACTGACCAATGAGGAGAGGGTCTTAACTTGAGGCCCTTTCTTCATTGGTCAGTCTGCAAGAGACTGACTCTCAACCTCTTTCAACTGACGTTCAAAGTTAAACTGTCCACCCGGGCTTTTGCGGTTTGTTTAATATAGGGTGATCATATTTCCATTTCCAAACAAGAGGACAGGGGATCTGTGCCTATGACGTCACACTATGGCAACGCCACACAAACCACTTTGGGACCCATTTTTTGTAAGAACTAAATTAATATCAGATTCTGCCAATAAAAGGGCTCTAAAACAATTCATATGTAAATAATTAGCATATTTATTGCAAAATCTCATTTTTCTGCATTAGTGCTGCAACAAGGTTTTATTAATAATAAATTACCGTAAATCCTCTAATACAGGCCGGTATTCAATTAAAAGCCTCTAATACAGGCCGGTATTCAATTAAAAGCCGGGTCCCCAATTTTGGCCGGTGTCGGAGTCCGTGGAGGTAAATAATGGCCGGTCTCTTATTGTGGCCGGATGGAATGTGGTAACAAGCAAGTATGCGTCCCAGCGGCAGGGTTATAGTCCCCAAATCTACCAGCAGGAGGCAGTGGAGGTCCACGCAGACCTTTATTAGGCTTTTTCTTCAACGCTTTGTAACTACAGACACCCATCCTCTATCACGCTCCTACCACACAGAGTCACGGTGTCAGTTAACCATGCTAATTCAACCCGCTCCACAGAACACACATCACCTTCCCTGTGGCTTACATAACACTCACACAACACGCAAATCAACACATAGGAACTAGCAGAACGATAGGAAACACATATAACATAATACCCAGAATGCACCTGGCTTACAACCCCAGCCAGGTCATTACACTATCAAGTTCAAAGAGAACATGCTGATTATGCTGCAGAACACTCTGGGGAGCAGCAGTAGGGGTTGTATGAACTTGTCAACTTCACTATAGTGACTTTTTATGCCTGTTGTCGACTAGTCGCTGTCACGTGATAATGACCGGCAAGATGCAGCCCTCGGAAAAGACAGCAGCCTGCTATCAGCAGGTGACAAGCTCCTGCGCTCGGGGGGTGGGGCAACGCGCTGTGCCAGACCGTAGGTACTGACATGCGATCGTTCATGTCGGTTCATTTCCTTTAATGTTTTCTGTCTTTTATTTGCGCCTGATGTGTATCGCTGCTGTGGAGCGGGGCGCTTCACCTTGTCCTCCGACGCACAGATCACTGATGCGGCCGGCAAGCAGGGAGCGCTCCGCTGTTTTCGCGGTCGGTAGATCTGCCTCCTGAGCACGGCCACAGTAACAATCAGGTGTCGCCACCTCAAAAACTAATTTAACACGCGATCGTTCATGTCAGTTCATTTCCTTTAATGTTTTCTGTCTTTTATTTGCGCCTGATGCGTTTCGCTGCATGCTGTGGAGCGGGGCGCTGCGCGCATCACCTTATCCTCCGACGCACTGATCACTGATACGGCCGCCAAACAGCGAGCGCTGCGCTGTTTTAGCGGTCGGTAGATCTTTTAGAACTGCAGTTCAAAGGTAACTCATGAGCAGGGGTATAGCACCAAATTCTGGGCCCTAGGTACAAGTCTTCTAGGTGGGCCCCCATGCTCAATTACTTAATATCTCTCTTACACATTTTTTGTCATGCTATAAGACAAGGTAATAAATATGATCTTAGTTTAACCTCTATATTGAGCAAATACAAATGCCAGCATAATAAAAGTGAAATGCCCAGACTTCACATATAATTATTTTATTTGCCAACAACGTGTTCAAACAAAAATCCTGGAATTTATTTTCCAGTAAATGCCCACTGACGGGTCTTCATGTTAGCAAAATCACTTATGAGATCTTTAAAGTCCAATCCTTTGGCTAATTGGCTTTCAATAGAAAGAAGAGCTAGGCTGTTCAGTCTATCCTGGGACATTGTTGATCTCAAATAATTTTTCACCAGTTTCAGTTTGCTAAAAGCCCGTTCACCCCAGCAACAGTCACAGGTAGTGTGCAAAATATCCTCATTCCAATACAAACTTCTCCAAAAATGCTCTGTAATTGCATCCTGTAGATGGCATTAAGCAGCTCAAGAGGAGACCGAATGTGTGGAAATGTGGCACCAGATATTGTTCTCAGGTGTAGCATCTCATTCTCTAATTCAGCTGTGAGATCCTTGTAATATTTTCTCATCAGTGCCTGGCATGATATCTTCATCTGCTCTTCAGTCATGTCTGTCATGGTTCATGATGTTAAGCTTTGTTAATACTGATATATATTGATATATTAAATACATATGACATGAAATAAACCAGGTTCTCTCTGAGAATGTAATGTACTCTAAATTTTATAATCCCTGCATTATCAGCCAAATTATAAGATTGTCTGTTTTCAAAATCAAATATGAAGAAATTTAAAATAGGCTTAAAATATCTAACCAAATCAATAACAATCCTCTAACACCAGTGTCATCATGCTATACGAAAAACAGTGGCAGCTTCACATTCCTGAGATTACCGCTAATCCATCGATACCAAGTTTGTCCTGGTCCATGACTGGGAAGGAGCTGAAATATCCACACAGAGTGAACCTGTTTTTACTGCGAGGTCCGCGAATTAATTGACGGCAACCCCCGATAATAATTCTGATTAATATATATATATATTAATTAGTGTTTTCACTGATAACACTAATTAATTTATATTTGATCTTGATGGTGAAACTAAAGGCGTTTAACACTGAACACCTAACATGAATGCAGCTTCTGCGAGCTAGCTAATATCAGCTAAAACTGTGTTCTGCTGCTGCTGCTCACTGTCCTTCTACTTGCTTCTGTTCAATTAACTTTTCCTCCTTCTCCTTCTTTTCTTTTCTGGAAGCCAGATTTCCCTTTCTTGGGAAAAGACATGACTGACTCTCCTGCCTCCAGCTCTAGCTGTTGGCATCTGAGATGTCTCATAGCTGTACATGCGGCTGTGCAGCCCCTGGCCGCTGGTGTGGACTAAACCACTTTGCACATTTTTAAGGGGTGATAGATGCCTCAGAGATTATTCAGTTATTATTTTTAAGGTGAAATTCTGTTTCTTAACCTCTTTATCCAGGTAAAGGGAAGTTTATTAAGACATTAAGTAAGTTGGGGGGAAAAAACAACAACAATAAAACATTTTTATTCAAAGCTGTCTCAGGGCCCCTCCCTGCAGTGGGCCCTGGGTAAACGGTACCCTTCCCCCCCCCCCAGTCCGACGCCCCTGCTCATAAGGTGAATATATATGAACCCAGGTAGCAGTTTCTCTTTAGGATTGAGAGGAGATGCAGGAAGATAATAAACAGGCAGGACAGAAAAATAGTCAAATAAAAACAAGTTAGTTTTTGTACCTGCTGTTGCAACAAACAGACACCATTGAAGGTAATCAGAAGTGAGGAACAGAAAATGAAATAATTATTTTAATGTTTAGAGCAGCAGGAACTCCGAGAGGCTGCAGGCGCATCAGTGAGTTTGTGGCCGCTGCGCAGGGGGAGGGGGGAGAGGGCTGAAGCAGAAACTACCGTTGTTAAAAGAAATGTGTTTAACTTTGAAAACGTGGGCGCAATTTTAATTGTCAAAAACTCCAGCGAACCATTAATTCATTTTGCTCAATTAGAAATAGAGGCCTGCCTCTAATACTGGCCCTCCTTCCAATAAAGGCCTGGAGCTTGATGTGCTTGAGTCAAATACAGGCCCGGGCCTGTATTAGAGGATTTACGGTATTATACCTTTTGTTTTACTACAGCATCGGTAAGCTTCCTGTGCACAGATTATTAAGGATGCTTGTTTCAGCTGTGAGATTAGACGATAGGATCAATGATAAAATAAGTTGTCACACACGCCATGGAAACTTTCAGAGAATCCACAAATAGTGGCTTTCAAATGGTTTTGTTACTTTTTGCAAGTTTAGAAAAGAAGCAGATGAGACAGCATGTCTGATAATTTAGTTTTTCATCTGATAATATTAGAACATGTCAGTCATGCCTGAGGGGCTTTTACAAACACTGTATAACTAACACTACTGGAGAGGGTATGAATTACACAGAGGCTTCGGGGGGGGGGGGGGGCATCATTTAGCCTTGGCCCCCAAAATGTCTTGAAACGGCCCTGGGTGTGTGACTGAGTGTTGAAGGTGATCTGAATTGTTTCAGATGTATAAATATTACATGTGTATAACTTATTGTTTTTTACTGGTAAAACGTGTAGTGGAGATAAATCTACCTACATTTTACTTTTCAACAGAAAATAGAGAACATGTGCGAACATGAACGATCGTGTGTTAATTATAGTTTTTTGGTTGCGTCACTTTGAGAATGGACCGTGCGCTGGACGCAGCAGCCTGGAGAGCACCAACAACGCTGAGTCCATGAATGATGTAATAAAGGTAGAAACGTTTGTTCCGGCTCTCCCTGGATGTGTAGGACATCCAGCTCCCCCGTAATTCGATCCCTGCTCCCCCCCCCCCATGATGCCCCGGACAGAAAGTGATAAGTGGACATGTCCAGGGAAAAGAGGACATATAGTTGCTCGTGCCCTTGCTTCCCTGGGCCCTTTAGAGTTTGTGGACCCCGGTTGCTCATGTGGTTAATCCGGCCTTGCCCCACCTGCTTATACATGTGAGTTCTACCTGCTAACAACATGGAAGCAGCTGTGTGTACTGTGTCTGGTGCATGTTTGGCTTTATTTTTCTATACAGAACAACCAGGCTGTTAAATACTCTTTAGTTAAACAGTAGTAATAATTCTAGTTAGCAAATTTACAAGAATAACTTTATTTCTAATAACTTTAATCTTCATAAGGCGAGGGATCAATGTTGATCATTTGTGCACAGTCCAGGTCTTGATTTGCAGCTTAAACCAGGATGTTTTTATGAAGTAAAACAAAGAAGCACAACATGGAAAAAGGAAACACACAAGACAAACAAGAGAGGCGCACAGTGAAACGCTTTTTAAAAAGACCGGAAGAACAAAAAGCTTTTAATATCGCCTGGAGACTTTACATTTCCAAGTATTTCACAGTCTCATTTGGAGGATGAGCCGAAACAGAACAGGTGGAGGAATAATTCTCAGTGAAGGAACACATCAGGAGCCATGAGGGGAATTCCAAAAACCATAATGGAGAATTCCCAGTTTTCTCACACGTGTCAACAAAATTTGAACCATTGTTGTTTGAAACATTCTCGTCAAAATTCCCTTTCAAATAGTCAGAGGCGTCGCGGGAACCTGTCTGGAACGCTTGTTTGGGTTTGTTTAGAGGGGTTAGGTCACAGCATTCCTCTTGGCTGAAGACCCTCGTCATGTTTGGGGTTCCAGATCATGGATGTCCTTCAGGAAGCCACAACAGCATTTCCAGCAGCCTAACTGGGAGCTCTGGTCAAACAATAAATCTTTGATTCTATTTTACGGCGCCTTGTTCTTGTCTCTTCTTTTTGCATTTTGATGCTTTTGTTCTGGTTATGATCTGAAATGAAACAGGACTATTGTTTTTGCTTCGTTTTGGAAGAACTTGTCTGCATCAGACCTGTGGTGGGATTCTTTAGTCTGACCAAATTTGAAAAACAACACACCCGAGGTTGTTTCCTTCACGGAGCAGTCAGGAGGAAACCCCGACATGTTCAGGGTTAGACACTGTAGGAGCAGCGGTGTGTTCTTCTCTCTGTCCTCAACAGTCACTTTGTTCATTTTCTGCCTCACAGGTCACGCTGATGGTCACGGGCACCAGATTTTCCATTACACTGGCTCCACATCCATCAGCAGCGTTGTTTTCCTGCCTCACACCCCGCTCCGAATGAGACCATTCATCTCAAGGAAGCCTGTCGGACTAACGTACTTCTCTATGGCCGCTTGGTGACTTGCTGCAGGGCTGGGGATTAAATATTAATACAGATTACCTTTGTGACCCAGCATGTAATAGATCTCACTCCGAGGCCGATCCCAGCTCAGGAAACGTCAAACCCTCAGACTCTGGAAGCTGCAGCAAGTCTATAACCCAAAACAAAGCTGAGAGGAACTTCCATCAGGCAGCTTTGTGAACGGGGACATTTTGTCCTCATGAGACTTCACGCAACAAGGGTTTGTTTTACTTTGTTTCTACATTTATTTTTGTTGCTCCGTTTATTTGCTGCAGAGAAGAAAAAACCCTGACGGAGGCAAAAACCTAATGGCCCGCGAGTTCAAAATAATGTCCTGGCAGTCAATCAAATGTCCATTTCTAAGCAGCAAATTTCAGCAGATGTAGGATGTACTGCCACTGTTGCTAAGCGACAAATTGCTTTTGCAGTAAAAAAAAACCTCCCCACCTCTTCTTTTCTACTCCCTCCTTCGATTAACTTTCCCACAACAAAACACTCCAATCATTCCTGCCTGACAAACCAGTCAGAAGTCCCGCCGTCAGAGCTGGATGCTGAGCAACAAGTTGGACCGTGCGTGAGCGGACGTTTGATTTCAAAATGTTTGTTTAAAAATCTGGAATCTGCTCTGATTGGTCACTCATCCTGAAGGTGAAAACAAGGTTGCAGAGCAGCTGCATCCTTGCTCTCTGATGTGTGAAGAATCCTGTGAGGGTCCATGTTTCCCATCAGTCATGGATGTGTGCGTCTCCATGACAACTGGAGGGATTGTGTAATGTGAGGTGCATCGTGGTGAACAAAAAGACACCTCTGGGTGGTGATGGGGGTGGGGTAGAAGACAGCTGCTATCACCTGCGGTTTCACTCAAAAGCAGACATTTTGTGTCTTTTATTGATAAATCTTCTCTGTAATTCCAGATGTGAGAAATTCCTCGGCTCTGCAGGAGAAATCCAAGGATGCAGGTGAAGCCTAAACAACATGGTGGACACCCCTCTGGGAAAGGAATCGTCTGTTTTCCAAACATTGCATCATCAGTGAACATATGAATGGTCTCCCTCTTTTCTCCTGTTGGTGTTTCCACTTCCTCACCATTATTTGCTGCTTTTGCTTTTGTCACCATGGAAACTGGACTTGCTGCATATCTTGCAGGTCTGATGTTTTTTTTTCCTAGATCCTGCGGTGGCAGCAGGACAGCGAGCCCAGCGAGTGTGAGACATGAACCCCTCCTCTGCCTACCTTGCCACCCTTCCCAATATTACTCCCCCATTATGAGATGAGGTTATGTAACTCCAGCTCCTGTCTGAGCCTCTTCACACAAACCTACCCCACAAAAACCCAACTCACATTCCTGTTTCTGCTGGACCTGGACCTGCTGGGGGCCATCAAGGTCCTGAGTGACCTGGGTGGCCCTGGTGGGTTTAACGTGGGGCGCTTTGAGGAGGAGGATGAGATGAGCCGCAGCTCAGAGACGGTCAGACGAGGCTATACGAACATGAATCTGCAGCAGAGCAACATGCAATGTTACCAAAGCTTAAATGAGTCTGTGCTAGGCAATAAATGAAAGATAAAGTTAATAAAACACAATGGATCAGGCTAAAACACAGCAGCACCACTCCACGAGGACCCAGCGTGACTTCAGCTGTGAGCTTTAATGCAAACAAACCGAATGAATCAGGAGATGAGAGGACAGACATCCATCAGAGGAAGGGGGACTCTCACCGTGGTCTTGGTCTCCTTGACCTCCTTGATCTGCCTCTTGGCTGGCGACACGGAGCCGGGGGGCTGCGGGGCAAGACAGGAGGGATCATCAAAACTCTCCTCAGTGTCAAAGCTGGCCTCCATCGTTATCCCTCACACCTCCTCCTGCTGCTGCTCTAATCTGGGAAAGCCTCTCTCCTCTTTCCCTCCACGTAGTGAGGCTGCCTTCAGTCTACCAGGCTGCAGAGTGAGTGGAGAGGAGTGGTGTTGAGGGAGGGAGGGAGAGGACGGAACGGAGGGTTGGGGAAGGCAGTGTTAGGGGTGAGGAGGAGGAGAGAAGGGCTGCAGATGGAAGTAAGAGGCAGCTGCAGGAGCATGATGAAGTCTAGCCTCAGGTTAAGCTGCTGTAACATAGGTTTAAAGGTTAAAGTGAGCAGAAAGAGACCCCCCCACACACACACACACACATACACACACCGTCCCCTCAGCCCCTCCCCTCCAGTGCAGGATTAAGCAAAAAAGAGCAGGGAGACATGAAATAAATGAAAACTGATGAGAAACAGATTAGGTAGAGAGTGAGACAAGAGAGAAAAAGGTGGAGGGAGCGGCAGTTTTGCTTACTTGCCACACCTCCCTCCCCAAAGAACCCGGGAGGAGGAGGGAGGGAGCAACAGCAGTGCAGGTGTTTCGGGGTTGGGTTTGAGTCTTCATCCCAAACAGCAGGAGGCAGCTGAAGACACACTCCGATTCATCTGCAGTGGAGACGCATGTTCCAAAGAGGCTGGAATGTCCGTGTTTCCACTAGAACATCCTCCTCCACCTCCTCTACCTCCTCCACCTCCTCTACCTCCTCTACCTCCTCCACCTCCTCTACCTCCTCCACCTCCTCTACCTCCTCTACCTCCTCCACCTCCTCCACCTCCTCTACCTCCTCCACCTCCTCCACCTCCTCTACCTCCTCTACCTCCTCCACCTCCTCCAAACGGAGCATCAAACACCAGCTGAGCTAGCCTCTCATGCTTGCAACACCTTTTCGCACCTGCTCTGCTCTAAATTCAACAATAAGGAGTTCTCACCTTTGTTGTGCAAAACATGGCCGCAAGTAGCTCCGACTGCCACAATCCCAGTCCAGCATGCGTAGTCCCAGCGCTCTCAGTGTGAGTTCTGAATGTTCTGGCTGGCTTGCTTTCTGACAAACTTTGACATGTGGAGTCCAGAACTCAGCTACCCATATGGCTCTGCTGTCTGTCCATCGGTTCTGTCCTTAGTGATCATGAGACAGCATGTCCTCGTCTAACTCGTAATTGGTCACATGTGCTGGCACCGAGTCGGTGCTGGTCCAGGTTCATCAGAGCTGCGGTAGCGGCCCTGTTTTCAGTGGGAAGAGATGAGATCTGAAGAAGCTCAGAGGAGTAGCATCTCTGCTGTTATAGAAGCTGATCTGAATTAAAATATTTTTTCCACTCAAAAGGTGTCTTTCAGTATTCAGTAAATCAGTAATTTGACCAGAAAAACTAGAATTCTCTCTTCGGGGTGGGGGGGGGGGGGGTGTTAGCAAATCTCTGCTTCATCCTGGAGCTGTGACACTTTGCTGTCTTGAGCCTGAGGGATGGCAGGATGGAGGAGAGATGGACCAACAGATCAAGGACTTCCTCTGCAGTAATGACAGTTGTGGTCTGGTACTTTGTCGTCAAAAGGAGCAGAGCTCCTACATTGGAACAATACCAAGCCGCTGGTTCAGGTTTGTGGACGACACAAAACTCTCACGAAGAAAGTGGAAGACTTTACCAAGCACATTAATGCTGTGGACAAGAACATCAAGTTCACCAGGGTGGATGCCCACAACAACCAACTGCCCTTCTCGGACTGTGCTGTGCAAATTGAACAATATCAGGAACCCATTGAAGTCTACAGGAAACCATCTCACATAGACCAGTATTTGCATTTCGACTTACATCACCCACTGGAGCACAAAATGGGGTCCATACCCGCACTCCCTGACTTGCCCACCCCCCAAGGTCCTATGTGTATGTTTGTGTGATGATGTGAGGGAGCAGGAGGAGAGAAATATGCGGGGATGGGGAGGAATGATTTCACCTTTCCAGTACCTGTGATGCTGGTTTGAGTCTCATTCCTAAGTAGTTTCAGTCTAGGGTCACACCTTCCTGCATCTAATCAACACAACAACTCCCTCTCAATAGAGGCTAATGACTCAATCAAGAGTCCGAGAGCTCCGGGAGTTGACGTCACTTCTCCCGGCATGCAACAGTTCACATCAAAACGGTGCCATCTTGGCAGGCAGAAGCTGGACTATTTGTTAGTTATTGTCAGAAAACTCAATCAAACGGGAAATATGGTAGATTCCTGTTGTGCCCCGGAGCGCCGCAAACGTTGGATCATTGTAATAAAACGCGCTAGTGACCGGGCTGAAATGAAACTGTGGGATCCCGAGAGTAAAGGATTTCGCTTATGCAGCGACCACTTCATATCAGGTACTTAAACCAACGTTTCCTCAACTGTGTATGGTATTTATTTTAAATGCTTTTATCATGATTCTTAGTGGGCTTCCTAAACTTATTTTGGCATGGCTTTTTCTGTCTTATTACTCATAGCAACAAGTAAACGTCACATAAAACGTTGCCTCGTGAGTTCTGCGTGCTGCCGTTTACGTGTTTTATGATCACAGCAATTAACCGGCTAAGCTGTATTTCATTTTTAAGCAATGGTTGATCAATTGTCAGATCACACGTAAAAAGCACTTTGGATTGCTATTATCTGTCTCACCGAGACAGATCTCAGACAGATCCTGAGACGTTCCTGCCTGACATTTTTATTTATTCACGGAAAACAATCAAACAAGTGATTTCTCTTGGCGTTCAGTTTATACATTCAAACAGCACAGCACTCTATTTAAACTACTTACGTGTAAATCTGTTATTTGTCCATCCATCCATCCATTTTCATCCGCTTATCTGGAGTCGGGTTGCGGGGGCAGTGGCGTCGAGAGGCCCAGACTTCCCTCTCCCCAGCCACTTGAGCCAGCTCCTCCGGGGGAATCTCAAGGCATTCCCCGGCCAGGTCCGCTCCGACAGCTTCTGGCATTTTTAAAAAGTATCCCAGGGGCACGGTAAGGGTCGGAGATGTTTAGTCTATTTAATTTCTGACTATATAAAATAATTTCTTCGGTTTTAAAGTGTGAAGTAAACTCAGACGAAGTAAAATCCAAGCCGATCCCGTTCATTCTGTTTACATTTGTTGCCTGCCAACATGGCGTCTACTCTCTGAGAGTCATGTGACGTCCGGAGCTCTATTGAGGCTAACGACTCATCAGGGGATGGAGAGGCGGGGTATCCAGAGTGGTTTGTGCTCATTAAATAACAATAACTACAGTTTTTAAGCTTGACTCTCCCATATTCCAGTTAGAATTGACAAAGCTCCTCTGATGAGAAGTGATACATCTTCAAGAAACCAAAGAAATCCAGTTGCCTTCATTTGAACCCTTTGGATTACCAGGACCTGGATCACTGACAACCTTCACCAGCATAAGCAAGGCTGGATTTACAAGTCCTTTTAAACATTCACCTGATCATGAGTTGTTAACGGAAGGGCAATAAAAGGAATGATCTTCGCCTGTAGAACAACCAGGATCAGATTGGAACAAAAGGCTGGGATCTTCATCCCAGAGGAGCTGGAGTAAATCTACGGCTCCTTATTGAAAGAAGTAACATGAGGTGGTTGGAGCATCTAGTTTAGCAGGAGTATCTGGAGTTTTTCCAGGCATGGATGGATGGATAAAACACTAACACAAGATCCAGATTCCAGCCAATACATTTTTACTGAGACCAAGATCGACTATGAGAATTATTTTAATTATTATTGTGATTCCCTTCTGCAGCCAACAGAATTCTCGGCCATCTAGCTTCATTTCTACTCTGAATCTGATCTGAATGTGACTAGATTGGGACTCTAGTCCAGGTCATGAGACGAGCGTTCATCTCAGCCATGTGGATCAGTACATATAATATTCTTCACTCAAGTTTCTGCAGCTGCCTGATTCAGACGGTTGTTTCAGACTCAAAAAATGCTAAAAAGTCACTTTTACCCCAGAAATAAGTTAATGACTCAAACTCTGGTGATAATTCTTAATAGTTAATCATTTCAGATTTTGGGTGATTTAAATTTGATTTGCCCATTTGTAATAAAAATAGAAAAATGCTTTTTTTATTTACAAAGACAATGCTTTGTGCCCAATGATGTCATTTTAAGTCTAAATGTCTGTAAAAACCCAAAAGCAGACTTACAACTAAATCATACCTAAAACTGGAGTGAAAAAGTCTAATTAAATCAACAACATCACACAAAGGAGAGAACAAGACTAGAATACCTCAAAGAGCAAAGCGGATGTATTTTCTGCAGGAGGACAAATGGAAGACAACATTATCTTTGTTTACCTGTTTGTTGGCTACAGATTTTCTCAGTGGAACATTGCATTTGTCTGGGTGCTGAGTGATCGCTGTTCTGCTGCTGGATTCAGTGGCTGAAAAACAACAAAGAGTCACACGACATTTTAAAACAGATTTTGGGATTTAATTTGAAATGACATCCAGTGAAATACAGCTGATGATATTTAGCATTTTTGTTTAAACATTACAATATTTTATGATATTTTATACACTCAGTAGTTATTTTTTCAGTTATCTAAATGTGTGAGTGACTAAACAAACATTTTTAATGTTTGTTTCTGATATAATCAGTCACTGAGCTTTTCATGCAGGCTGAACATGAAAATAGTCTCCTACACCTATCCTCTGATTGGCTTCTGATAGAAAACAGACGGTGAAACTCTAGGATTAGAAAAGCCTGACAGATATACGTCACACTGTTGCTTAACATTCATGGACTCACCCATGCTGACTAACGACGGGGAAGATTGTTGTTGGTTTAGCGCTCAGGCAACAACAGAGAGCATGTCAGCTAGCTTAATCTAATCGTTAGCATTAGCAACATAACCACATGGCAGAAGCTCCTCCTGGTTTGTGTTATTTGTGGAGATAAAACATCAACATTGCAAGTTAGTGGAAGAGTCACGTTGTGGTTATCCGAATCGGGGTGAAATGTCCAAATATCAGGAAATCAGACTCGGAAACCGGCCGTCTGAAGCTTAGCTGTGATGTGGAAACTTTTAGGTCTGAGAAATGGTGCACCGGTATAGTTCTCCCCCAGTGAATGACGTACAAGGCATTCATTCCACTGCAAATGTATTTATTACAGGGGTAATCCACTCTTTTAAGCTATAATAAGATATCACAACTAGGATTTGTTGTAACTTTAAAAATCTTTATAAACTATAACGTCAACCTTCTGCACGTTTGTACAAACCGGAGACACACTAGCTGCAAAAACAAGAAGCAGAAATAAAGAAATCA